CCATATAAAAGTATCTGGTTATCATTTTTTGCCTATGCCAGTACTTCTTCAAGTAATTCTATATGTTTATATCTTATAATTATATCATTATATCAGTACTTTTACAGAATTACATTTTGGATGGGCGTACTTAAAGAATGAGAGTCAATCCAGTGAAAAGTCATCTCCCTGATTTTATCTTAAGAATTCATTTTTTTTCTCACTTCAGTTCTCAGATTCTTTGGTCTTAAAATATGCCAAGTATTTGATTCTGTATGTTTGAAGATTGTACTGCACATTACACTGATGTAATCCTTTACCAACAGAATTAATACGGAAATAATTTAACCTAAAAACATGTAATGCATTTAATCAAAATTGATAAGTACATGTAACAAGAAGACAAGACTTCTTTTTGAACCCCCTTCATGTATGTCTATGCTTATTCCATCAACCAAGGAGGGGTTCAAAAGGAAGTTTTTTTCGTCAGGGATGTTTTTAAAAAATGTTTGCTAAAAACTTTAGATTTATATTGCAAGGTTAAACTAGTATCTTCGCCCTTTACAAAACTACTGTGGCGATTAATTTTTTTTTAGGTAAATACCATAGAATTTCTGCTGACTGCAATAAATGAGGTTATTGCTTGTAGCCTCCTCTTATCTCAAAGAAGACCCTTCAATATGATGGTTATTATGGGTGAAAGAACAAGAGTAGCAACATTCTAAACCAAAAATAGATTGTGTTACATACAACATGGTTTACTACCTTTAACTCATTCATGATGGTACACTGAGTACTCTTGGCACTTATCTCTCTTTTTGTCAACTATGCATGTGACTTAAATCATAATGATCTTGTTAATATTCTTATAACTTATACAAAATATGTGGCAATGTACCAAGAAATATTTCTCTTATTTATTTATACATTTACCAGCTGAGTTTTATCTATTATGGTAAAAAAATAATTTAAAATTACAATGACCAACTTCAACATACCCTATTATGAATTTGTGCTCTTGCTTTTTTCATATGACAGAAGAAATATTGATAGATTTTGATGTAACAGCTGGATGTGTGTTTGGGGGGAGGGAGAGGACCACTTGTGCAAAAAGCAGACCCTTTCATTAGTTGTTCTTCATTGTGTACTCCTTGATATGTCATGCAAATACATTATGTATACTTTCCATACATTTCATCGATACCAATCCCCCCTCCTTTAAGAGTTTACCTTTTCGATGAAGTTTGGGATGGTTTGAAACATTTATGCATCAACCGCTCTCAATCATTCTAAGTTCCAGTCAACAGAGGAATGGAAGACAAAGATTTGGATGAATGAACATAAAAATGTCAGAATGTTACAAGATTTTGAAAAACTCGATTTTGATCTGGACAATTTTGGGCAGCTTCAACTTGCTAGCTAAACAAAACCTAAAGAATATCCCAATATTTACATAGTTCAAACTAAAGTTCAAAATAAGCAGATAAGTTGCTTTGTAAATGACTATAAAATCCACACCCCAAGGTAATGTAATCTGACCTTTTATTGGGACTCAAGAAACACTTAAAGTTATTACTGACCAATTGCGAATAGTTGATATTGACAATTTATGATTTCAAATCAAAACATAAAAAACATATCTTTCATACTAGATAAAATTGTTATCAAATTGAAATTTTATTCAAATCTGATATAAATTCATATTTTCATAAGCTTTGTGTTCATATAAAGGTGAAAAAAAGATGTCTTTGTTGGAATGAAATTATAGTATAATTTGACAAAATGCAACAATTTCAACCAGGGTTGTTTCACATTAAGACAATTTTTTCAAATCACTCTTGTTCATAACTGCTGTAATATATTACTTAAAACTCTGTCACTTATTCTCATATTACGTCTTTTGGGAAAATTAAATATATTTTTTTACATACAAAAATAAAAAAATTTCTAAAAAATTTAGCTGTGATAAGAAACTTACCCACAGTATCTTGCAATCAGAGTCAGCATCTTATATCACATAATTTTATTCCACAGTCACACAAACTTCAGATAATATTTTTTTTCTACCTGTATTCACAATTTTTTTAAAGGGTCATTTAAAATTAGCCTTCACCTTGACTGTTCTACAAATCATAACAAAAAATTAATTCCATGTTTTTCACAAGTCATCATAAAATTTCAATGACTATATCACAATACTAGAATAATCATATGCAGTGAAGTGAGAAAAAGAAAATCCTTTATTTTGCATCAAGTTACTCAAACGTAACATTCACCTTATGTTTTAAAGGGAGATAACTCCAAATTTAATTGCTGTTTACATTTTGGTGTTTCTATACATCGATTAATGGTGTGTGGGCAAACAAAGCAATCTGTCTCTGAATACTATTATTATGTACCTTATCTATTCTCCTTAATTAGATGAAGCAGATAAATTACCTGAGGTATTTGATTATCTCACCTGTAATTACCTGGGAATGAGGTCTCTAACAATAATAGGCCAGGTGTCACAAACAGGAAAACAAGGAGAGTGAAAAAAAAAAAAAACATTGATCGATAAAATAATAAACTTTTAACATGTAGATATAAAATTGTTATGCAACAGCTGTCTCCTTTACTGGTAATTTTTTGCATTGTGATCAAAAGTGCTTTATTATGATTTACAGTCTTATGCAAATTATGTGCAAAATCAATTATGATTTCTTTTAGAAGTATTATAGCACTTTATATTCAATAATGTGTAATCCTATTTTTGCCTGCAATTGTAATCTCCCATCCCAAAAACAATGGTAAACACAATCTGCTTTATGTTCAACATCACATTGTTTCTATAATTAATTCAAATATTTAGAATCATAAATTATGATTGTAATTAATTATTTTTAAGGTATATAGGACAAACAAACAAGCTGTTGGAAATGTTAATAATAAATGTTCATTGCCATCATAATAATCATAAACTGTTAACACAGAGATATGTCTTGCCTTTTTGTTATTTAATAGTAAAATGCCAATGTTGAAATTAAAATAGCAATACACTACCATGTAAGATATGCAAAATATTCAAAGTCAATGAACCATGACTAAAGATACAGGGCCAAACGATCTCCATGGAAATGAGATATGTCAATGATAATACAACTGCATACCAAATATTATTGACCTGCCACTAGTGGTGCTCCATAAACTGATCTAATCACAAACTAATATGTGTAAATAAGCAAACGTTCAAAGTCAAAGGACAATGCCTGAGGGGGCAGGGTCAAATAATCTCCATGGAAATGAGATGTGTCAATGCTAATACAACTACATACCAAATATCATTGACCTACCACTAGTGGTTCTCCATAAACTGACCTAATCACAAACTAATACATTGTTGACACTGCTGCCGCCCCCAGACACAGCATTCCTATGTCTTGCTTTTTGACTCTGTCAAGGCAAGACAAAAACTCAATTGATAAACTTAAAGAAATTATCCCATAGGTTTTTAGAAGCATTCTTTCCTAATGAGGAATTAACTTTGGAATATGCTGTCTATCAATATGGGATTTCATTCAATAAAATAAATTGTTTTGATTTAGAACTATTCTCTACACTTGGACCCAATCATATACAAATAAACCCTGTAAACACATAGTTTTGTAAATGTCTGATGTGGGCTACACATCTATAGTTAGGGGGTTCCTCCAACCCCCCATTGAAAACTAAAAAAGACTGTTAAAGTTGAGAGTCAGATTGAAGTTTGATGATTGAAGCCAAAGTGTCATGATCCAAAATAACCCCCTCAAAAGCGTCTTAGCAACAGGCCTCAGATATATAGATTTTAAAACAACTACCTCATACTGCAATAAAGAATGAAATAATATGTTACAACTCTATCCAGCAAAAATTTAATTTTGACAGATTTGAATTTCTAGATGACTAGAAACTTTCAATCATAACAATAGCATCAAATATGACTTAGCTAAATTTACTTCACAATGTGTGTAAATAATTTATTTGTCTAACCCATAAAAGTACACACATAGAATTATTACTTTGCTGCATCAATTCACAAGAGACAGATTTGTACAATAGATTATAGTATTGATGTTTATCACACAAAGTTAAATGTGTTGTTCCAATCAATAATGATGTAAGAATTTATCACAGTTTTTTATTTTATTGTTTTTACCTGCCTGTAGGGTATCACATGTTACAAAAGGTGAAAACAACATCTAATTTTCACAAAAGGCCCCCTAATCATCAATATTTTAGCCATTATTATTCTTATTTTGGTCAACAAAACATACTTTTACAATGTGTTGGTAATTGGTCCATTAATTTTATGATCTGGTATCAGAAAAATGATGACCTGAACAGGCCAAAATATTCAAACTGCATGTTCATTTTATGGCCTTCTCTTATTTTGGTTTACTGAAGGGAGAGGCTTTGGAGTGAGCAGAAAATTGCAACATAAATTACATTTGTCTGAATACATCACAAAATGAAATCTCATTTCCTTAAAAATTTACAGTATAATAGCAAGATTGCCACTGAGACAACGAACTATCCACCAAAGTACAAATGACATATATACAGTAAGCCACTGACAATGTTTGAACTGTTTGTTTCAGTTAGTACCAGTAGCATCCAACAAGTATATTATAAATCTACTATTTATACTACAAAGTCATAATACTGTAACTGGAACCAAAAGTATTAAGAATAAGAATATTTATTATTCCAATCAAGGGCCCTTGATGGGCAGCATAACATGTATTCAAAAAGTAAAAAAAAAAAATATCTTAGATGAACACATAAATGCTGTACTATCTAGTATAACCTACTGTTAACATTTAAAAGGTTGTGTGACCTGAAACGACTAAATATATCAACCACTTAAATGTACTTCTTAAAACTACACATACATTTTCAATATTTCATGATAATTTAGAGAAATATCAGGAATCAAAATGTTTATTTAGGAAGTTGATGATAGAAGGGAGGCAACCCTTGCAACCAAAATGAACACTTACTATCTACTGAACTGTCCTGGTTTATCTATGGGTGGATTATGTGCAGCACCCTGAAAGTAAAGAGAGATCCATTAGATTTTAGCGATATATAATGATAACTCTTTAAACTGAATAATAAAACTTCTGGTATTGTGAACTTTTTAACCGACAAAGTAGATTATCACACTTGATTATATAATAATTTGAGAAAGTCGCTAAAAATACAATTTCTTTCAATTCTAATTATCCTTGATGTACTAGATGAGAAAAGTCACAAAAAGATACAATTCCTTCAGTTCTAATTATTTTGGAAATGCTAGATTATAAGTAAGTAACTAATGATAGAAATTTTCTACAAATACAATGTCAAGTCTAATGTGACCATAATTCAAAAAAGAAAGCTAGTCTTTAATAGTACATTTTTTAATTTAGATTTCAGTGAAATCTCTACCTAAATTTTTGAATTAAAATATCACAATACCAGTTGTATATCATGCTTAACTATTCTCATGCACATTTATTACCACATCATGTTAGTGCCACATGAATTCATTTTTCAGTAAATAAAGTTTCTGTACAAAAAAATATTTTGTCACCTTTATCTTCTATCATTCATTTCATTTTGATTTTTTATCATCATTTCAGTTTAAAATTTTCTTTTTTTTTTGAATAACCTGCAGAAAATATGCAATATGATTTACATCTATATACTATTCGTGTCGTTGGATTGCTGTCTCATTGAGGTTTACTCACGATCGCTTGTTATTCATAATCCTTATGAAATGAATTAGGTAATTTTATATCAATATCTGTCACTGGACATTAAGGACAAGCTAACAATAATAAAAGTTTCTCTCTTCTTTCTTTTTTCAAAAATAAATTCCTTACATGTTCTAAATAACGGTACTTCACTACTTGTTAGAAAAAGTTATTATCTGTGTATTATAATGTTATGTGAAAAAAATAATTTAAATATAGTAATAAAGTAAAATAAAATAAAGCATGTGTGTGCTTATGGATAATCAAGTCAGGCTTCTATAAACTAAAATCTGCAAAGCAAAATACTAAAACAAAAGAATAGTTAGATAAACTTGGCAAGACTTTTTCACTATCTGCTGTCAACCTAGCGACTACAAATATTATAAGAATTGGTTATCATAAGTACCATATTCTAATCAGAAGCCTAAAATATACAAATACTTTCAGTCTTAAGGAACTATTGTCTAATAAGGACCTTTCTGGTATTCATGGAAATTTGGAAAAATTACTTTCTGTATTTTGTATACAGTGGATTAATTTATTTTTGTGGGTACCAATTTCCGCGGATCAAGGAAAAATTGTAGTATTGTGAATACTGACTTCATGGTTTTGCAAAGCCTGCATACAAGCCTATAGAAAGTTTGCAATTTGTTGAACATTTAAATAAATGGTTTACCTATAGCCACGAAATCAACGAAAATTGGTATCCCACGAATAAAAAGTATTGTATTTTGTCTCTATTGAACTTTAACTACATTACAAGCCAGAAAAAATTCTAATGGCACATTCTTAAGCAATCTATTATTGTCTGAGGTAGTAAGTTCAATATGTTATGATATATTCTGGGTGTTAAAGATTAAGACATTATCACATTCATAAGGGTACTGCATGCGAGAGAAAATTCTGATACATTTGTATGACACAAAGTGAAACGAGACAACATCTAAAAAGTTACAATAAAAATAACATACATGAAAACTCCCATTATATAATAAAATGATAAGACTCATGTTAGGAGTCCACTATACCAAAAAGTTATGTATGAGGGTCACAATGATTTACATGAAAATTAAAACTGAAAATGAATAAGTAAAAGATAATATAGAGGAAGATAATTAATCAAAATCAAACTGTGAAATAAAATTATAGCCAGAAGCCATAGCTACAAGCATAATTTTTGTGCAACCATCACACAATACTACCTTCGTGCTATCTGTTTTCTTTTTTCTCTCCGTTGGAGAAGTGGCCGAATATGAACGATATCTACCTGGTCCCTACATAACGTAATTAGAAATACAAAATAAAAAACACACATCCCGTCATTTCACACAAACACGTCACAACATTTAGTCATTGTACAACCTACCCGTTCATATGTGTGTCATCACAATAATTGGATTTATATTTCCCAGGTTCAAATAAATTTCAACATTCAAACACAAACATTGATTTATTTAATGTCTACATCACATAAATCAATGATGTCAACAACAAGGTCTAGGTATTCTTTGTTTTCTTCTCCACTAATGCAGGTACGCTAAAATCATTCAACATGCAATAAAGGGAATTCTAAAACATTGGGTGGGGCATTTAATTCCACATAACCTGTCCAATTGTTCATACCCATGAATTTTCTGCATTTTCATTTTTGAAAAAGAAGTATTTCCCCATAGTATTTCAAATAATTACATCAAAATAAATCCTGCTGTTAAATAGAAGTGTTTAATGATTAATATTTCACAACACTGGTCAAATGAATTTACTGGGATAACTATAGTTTTACATGGGATCAGAAAATAAGTTCTTTTGCTCAGAAAATATCTTGGATAATTTGAATCAGAATATGCATTTTGTTCAATAAATAAATTAATAACATTTTGCCATAGGTATAATGAAGCTCTGTTTCTTTAAGAAAAACCAGTAGATATATATTGTGCTTCCCTTGGTGAACCTCTTTTTACTAATCGATAGTCAGGTAAAATTGATCCAGAAGATGGTTTTTCTGTTTATTAAATTTATCCTTTGTTCAGAATATCTGTAAGACTATAAATTACTCAAGAGATCTTGTCTGCTTTTTTTTATTTGCCTTAAGCAAAATCATTTTTTATAAAAACAATTATAAAGTTTGCCTTCCTAATATCACCTTTGCAAGTATTGCATACATTGTATAGAAAAAAATTCTCTCTATTTACAAAGCATAACTTTGAAATATCTAGTAGATTCTTATCATTAGTCAGACTCAAAATGGACCAATCAATAGACAGAAACTTAAAAAAAAACAGTAGATGTATCAGGCGTAAAGTTTAAAACTTTTTTCCATGTGAGCTTAAAGTTTGAGACAAGACCATGAATATCACTTTAATAAAAAGGAAGCATTTATTGTCATATTTTCTGCAGCACAATATGATATATATCTTTTAAATCCCAATAATGACAGACAACTTATCCATGCTTTTTGCATATGCAGTAACTTTTGCCATTCATTCTGCAGAGTGCACATGCATAACATTCCATACACCTTAATGCAATAAGTGCATGCTGTAATTTGTAATGGTGCATCATTCCTATCAGACCCTTTTTGAAAATAAAATAATACAATGATATATATCAATTCTTTTGAATTTCAAGGAGGAGAGCTAAAGCCCTATTTGTATTAAGGAGCAGATAAATTTAAGGATGCCATCCACTATTACTGCTTTTAATAAATTTCTATAATTGTTAATGAATCATAGAAACAATCTTAAATTTAACACTAAAAGGAAAAATCCTATAAATCTGATTTGGTTTTTTAACAGAGTCTCAAAGGAGTGTGTATCTCTCACCTGGCACCATATATAAAACAGGCAGGTGTTTGTTCCAAGATTTTCAAAAGGGCAATTGATATATATAAATGTCATAAAGAGAGCACATACTTTGGAACTTAAGACAAAAACATCCACAATAATGTAGTAAAACATCTCAGGGAACCTTATTTAACCTAATTTAGATAACGTTTTCCAAAGGTTCCTTAACTCAGCCTTCTATGAATTTTTTTCATGGGAAATAAACAAATTAAACATCAAACAAAACTAAAATGTACTAACCTAACCTTTAATTTTATCAAAAGTAGGTCAACCTTTCTTGGTCTTCTTTTACTTTAGGGGTCCCATGCTATACTTATCAAACAATAACTCAAAAACCTAACCTTAACCAATATCTAACCATTACATTAGCCTTAAACCTAGTCTAGAACAAACCCTCTCCCAACTCTAACCATAAACCTAACCCTAAAGTACAAGGACCCCCAAAGTAAAAGAAGGCCCTTTTGATTAACTTTGGACTACAACAGAGCAGAAAATTTCTGGGTCAAAAGATCTCTTCTTAAGTCCAAAATAGTTCAAATTGATCTCTTTTGAGATCTGTAACTATTATTAAATAGGGAAATACTAAATAGCAGCACAAAATTCTTAGATGACTGAAAACAGACCAGAACTATCATTGTCAAAAGGAGAATCATCTATGTAAAAATTCACATATTTTTACATTCATTTTATGACATAGGCTTGGACATTACTGTAATGTTTAACATTGCTTATTATATGCAGAAAATGTCATGAAAATTTATTGATAAATTAGATGAAAAGCATGTACTTTTTGTAGATAAATGTGGATGCAATACTTTTTGAAAGGGTATCATTCAAAAGGGAGTGAAATTCTACTTTGAGCTAAATTTTAGTGTCAAGAAAGACGTCAAAAAAGGGTCATCTAGAGCAAAGACTTCACACAATCTGTTTCCAATAATTATAAGAAAACAATAAACACTAAATATTTACTGGGAAAGCCATTAAATTTACTTTTGCCTGTTGCAACCTAATCCATTATTTACATTAACTTCCGTAAGGGGATCATTTGGATGATTTAAAACATTATCAGATATCACTTGAAAATTAATATTCAAAGCTGATATAGTGGTCAACTTTTTTCAAATAGGCCAAGCAGTTTAGGAGTAGAAGACTTTTGAAAAGTTAATGATGATGAGTGAAAGACAGACACAAAGTGATGAGAAAGGCCAACACTTTCACATCAGGTTAAATAAGCTTAAACTTTGTTTTTGGAGACAAGCAGTAATAGAGATGGTTTTCTACTTCTAAATAAGTGGGATAACAAGTTCAGGCTTTATCTTAAGATAAGGGAAGGCACTCTGACTGTATTTCATAGTTAGTCTTACAGCTGTAGAAGAAAAAGACGACACACAAAATACTTACAGTTTTTGCCTCTTGAAATGCTATAGATGAGAATCCTGGTTCATAATCTACTATACTTCTTGGCTGACATCGATATTTCTCTACCGTTGACCTTGCGTTGGGTGGATTCCATTCACTGTTGATAAATAAAGAAAAACATTCAGTTAACAGCCCTGACACTCAGTGAACAATATGATTACTGAAGTCTTACATGTAAAAGGCAGGATTATAGGTAAATATCTCTATACCGTAACAAGATGTTGCTTTCAAACAGCTGTTGACCAATCACACTTTTTTAAAATGAAGATGTCACTAAAGATCAGTAATTTAAACCAGACATTACAACACATAGATGATAAGATGAAGTCCACATTTAAAAGATTCAGAAGTGCTTGGGAAATATAATATTGTACGAGAGACTGAAATTGATTTTAATTATGATGCAACCTGCAGGTATAATACCTGTCAATTACCAACAATTCAAGCTGTTGGGAGAGAAAAGATTTCATAATTGATTGAATGTAAAGGATATTTATGACTTTTAATAATCTGTGGTTCACATAAAGGACAATATTTACAATCTGAATAGTATTTAATTTCAGAAACAAAACCTTGCAAAATATTGATTTATTCTCATTAATAATTCAAAATTTGATAGGACAGCGACAGGAAGGGACACTTGGGAAACAAATCAACCCATTAGCACTTCTAACACATAATCTCCATATAGTTCCAGCAAAATTACAAAGCAATTTAATTATTCTGTTCAGACACTGGAATGAACATACTACTTTTTACACCTGAGATGAGCTCCTTACTTTTCAAACAATTGTAATAGTAATACATGTACATACAAGTATTAAGTTATATTGTAAAAGTAATACATGTACATACAAGTATTACGTTATATTGTAATAGTAATACATGTACATACACGTATTACGTTATATTGTAATAGTAATACATGTACATACACGTATTACGTTATATTGTAATAGTAATACATGTACATACACATATTACGTTTTATTGTAATAGTAATAAATGTACATACACGTATCATGTTATATTGTAATAGTAATACATGTACATACACGTATCACATTATATTGTAATAGTAATACATGTACATACAAGTTACAAGTTATATTGTAATAGTAATACATGTACATACAAGTATCACGTTATATTGTAATAGTAATACATGAACATACAAGTTACAAGTTATATTGTTATAGTAATACATGTACATACAAGTATCACGTTATATTGTAATAGTAATACATGTACATACAAGTTACAAGTATTAAGTTATATTGTAATAGTAATACATGTACATACAAGTATTACGTTATATTGTAATAGTAATACATGTACATACAAGTATTAAGTTATATTGTAATAGTAATACATGAACATACAAGTATTACGTTATATTGTAATAGTAATACATGTACATACAAGTATTAAGTTATATTGTAATAGTAATACATGTACATACAAGTATCACATTATATTGTAATAGTAATACATGTACATACAAGTTACAAGTTATATTGTAATAGTAATACATGTACATATAAGTATCACATTATATTGTAATAGTAATACATGTACATACAAGTTACAAGTATTAAGTTATATTGTAATAGTAATACATGTACATACAAGTATTACGTTATATTGTAATAGTAATACATGTACATACAAGTATTACGTTATATTGTAATAGTAATACATATACATACAAGTATCATGTTATATTGTAATAGTAATACATGTACATACAAGTATCACGTTATATTGTAATAGTAATACATGTACATACAAGTATTACGTTATATTGTAATAGTAATACATGTACATACAAGTATCACATTATATTGTAATAGTAATACATGTACATACAAGTATTACGTTATATTGTAATAGTAATACATGTACATACAAGTATTAAGTTATTTTCATTTTGAAAAGTTATACTATGGATTTATTTATTTTGTGGCTACCAATTTTCGTGAATTGAGGAAAACTCGTATTTTCGTGCTTTTGCCCAAGTCTGAAAACAAGCCTATAGAAAATATGTACTTCATTGAACGTTAAATTTCATGGTTAACATATATTCTCGAAAATCAAAATTGGAATCCCACGAATAATACTGAATCCAGAGTATACATTAGTGATATGGTTTGTAAAAATCCTTTATTCTGAGGGAACAAACTTGCATGGGAACCAAGGAAAACATTTTTAACATGTTGTTATGTTAACATTGCTCACTTATTATACACTTACATATATCAAGAATATGACTTGTAGTTTCTGAGAAATATGTGATGAAAATTTCTTATATGTGCATAAAATTAAAAGTTTTTGCCAAGGGGAGGAAAAAAATTGAAGGAGTTGAAAACGTGACACAAGGTATGGCATAACTAGATGAAGTTGTGAAAATTGTAGTTGCTGAGAAAATGTGACTATAATTTTATCTATGTGCATGACATTTTAAAGATATGTTTTGGCATGTAGGTAGTAGAATATTGAAGGAACTTAAAATTTCCACATGGTATTGTATATCAAGATCAGGTGTGGTGCAGTATATCATGAAGCTATGACTAGTTACTTAGAAAAATGTGACAGAAATATGTTATGGACAGAACCTACCTTCTGTGGAACATGGAGTATAATAAAGTAGGGGATAGGGATATTGAGACTCTGTTTCATGAGTGAAAACATATAAATCTCGTTTTACAGTATTTAAGTATAAATACTTCCTGGCATTCTATAAGTTTTTTTTCTGTTTTAAAAGACTCTTTTCTGATGTCATTTTCTGATTATTTATTTACAGTGTTAGTTTAACTTTACAACAATAAGATTGGTACAACATTAAAAGCATGAAGTGATTACTCATAAGCCTTCTATCTATAGTTCATGGTAACTGACTATCACTTCTCACAGCACACAAAGTAATGGATAACTAAGTGTAAGCATCCACCACAGTTTTATTTTTTTTTAAGTACTCTTAACTACTATTGATGTGTTGTATTCCCTACAAAACTTTGAAGTAATAAACTCAATACACTTTACACATTCTTGTCTAATACTTATGTAGGCAACCCATCACCAATAAATTAATCAAATAAATAAACCAAAATGTGGATAAAATGTCAGTAAAACAAAATAATATGTTGTTATTCTTCAAATAACTGTGATAAAAACTGTCATCACCATAGAAGTTATAATGAACCAAACTTTACTTGTAAACATTACCTATTCAACTAAATAAGTATGTTAAAGTCCAATTATTGATTTTTTTCTGTTACTATGGTGATTATTCCAAACCTTTGCCATCTTACCTTAGGAAATCAAAGAGTTCTTTAAACCATGATCTGATATAGACCAGAAAAAGATAAAAACCTAATCAAAGGGAGATAACTCAAAAGTATTTTTAATTTCACATGTGTGACTATATATCAATGCAATTTTCTAAAAAAATATTAAGCCATAACCCTGCTTAACAGCTTTGATCTCCCAAAGGAATTCAAAAACAAAAGTCAAAACATAGATGAGAAAAATACCACAAAAAAATGTTAAAATTAAGCACACGCTGAAATTAAAATCATGGAAGAACACATTTGTAAATGTTCTGATACAAATACACAGAATGTACATTTATACATCAACATACAGGACTAACGCTAGACAAACACAACTCACAATGACATTTAACATCAATCTGGTTTTATTGTGTTTAAGGTTGCTGTCACATAGGATTTGGAGGTCAAAAAAAGATAAGATGGCAACGGCTGATTGCTACAGTTCTAGTATAAAATTCTATTGATATCTCTACAATTTGTAGGATTAAAATGATTAATATCTGTGATTTTCCTGAAACCCAAATACAAAATGTTTGCCATTGTGATTATTGTTCATATTTGATAAGCAAGCTTTGTGCTAGGAGGGGATTACAATAATGATCAACCTACTCTAGGTAATTCAAGAAGTCTTGCACCTCTTCCGAAATTTCAGTATCTCTGAAATGTTGGAGAAAACTTATAGAATTAAGCATATATATCATAAAATTTACTTATTTTTTTTCCCATTTTTATTCTGGTTATAATTTCTATATAAAATATTGAAATATAAATTAAAAATCTGTTAAATCTACAATCGATGATTTATTTCTAATTGAAAAACAAAATTATTCGATGTTGAAAATATTTTCATTTTCAATAAAAATTTACTATATAAATTTCTTACAAAAAAAAAAAGAGAATAAAATTATAAATAAAATGATCAAATTGTCAATTGTCCAATAATGGCATGCTGCATATCTATGGTTACAAAAAACTGTCACTGAACAAGGGTATGCATGCACTAGCAGTTCCAAAATTTGTGAAGTGTATTTTTAGGATATATTTTTTTAGTGGCACAGTAAATATAGAATACAAAATTATCAACCTTTTTGGACATAGCAGTGAACAGATGAAAATATTATTCATGCTTCATTTGGTGTGTGTATGTTATAAACACAATGGGATAGAACTGTACAGTTCAATAAATTCAGGAAACGAATTCAGAAAATAAACGTCAATCAGGACTGAAAAATGAATATATCTTTAAGGTGCATTAGGAAATTACATTGTCATAGGGGCATGGAATAAATCATGATTCTATCAAAGGCAATTTTCTTCATCATAATGCATGTTTGAGGGGATTTATCAAAATATATTCAAATGGACAATGCTCAGATGATGCAAATTGACGTAGGACATCAAGGTAGACACCACACATAATACAGAGACATGTACGTTTGTTAATACATTTAATGACAAACATCCTGACGTACAATGATGCAACACATGACACATACATGTATCATATGATAAAACTTCAGTTTAATTAGTCCATACCTTAAAGGCAAAAACTTGGTCAATTTTGTAGCATTTATCAGGAGGCGGTTTAAATTTTGACTTTTAATTTAATAATCATATAAATAATAAGATGTGGTATGATTGCCAATGAGACAACTCCCACCAGAGACCACAAGATGTAGAAGTTAGCAACTATAGGTCACTGTACGGCTTTCAATAATGAGCAAAACCAGTACTGCATAGCAATTTTAATTTAATCATGTATGCTTTTAACACCAAATTTTTTTTTTTTGTGTATTATAAATGTTCAAACTATCACTTAAAATTTCTTGAAGGACTACCAATATAACAAAAATATATCATTCAATTCAAAAGTAGAAAAAAATGAGCAGAAACGCAACAAACCTACTTCAAGAAAATTCTGAGACAAGAGAATATTTTTCTTCTTTTTATCATTGTTTTGCTAAAATACCCTTTAAAATAATGAGTCAGATTGTACTAGTGTTATCTGCAAGTATTATAAATCAAATTTAATCATATAAGACCATAACATTTTTTTTTTTATAGCAAACCAATTAAAAACTGAAGTTTTAACATTTTAAATATAATCATGTCTTACCATCTGCAACAGGAATAAACATATCAAATAAATAACAGCTCCAAGTTTTCTTTCTAAACATTTTTTCTCTTATAAAAATTTATCATATTCTTTTAAAACCTTGGAACTTTAAGCAAAAAAACAAAATGCCATTTACTTACAAAGTCTTTGGTTTTGTAGACGATTTGAAATCTGCTTTAAAATCTGATAAACTCTTGGATCTGGATTTAGTTTTAGATGAGTTATCTGGTTCTGATCTATACCCTGCATCTACATCTGCAAAACACAATTATACTTTCTTACTGTTAATCACATATTGTAAAATTCATTAATAAGGTAAAATGTTTCTTTTACACCGCACGAAATGCATTTATAGTTATATAAAATACCTCTAAACATCTGTGGCTCCTTGATAGTGCCCAAACATTATTCAAGAGCTTTTTGGATGTGAAAAATTTAAGGTTAATTGAAAGATGGACGTGAAATTCATGAGCATCTGGTTCTTTTTTTAAGGCATGCATACAATATCAAACTAGTTTCATCAACATACGGTAAATTCGGAAATTTTTGCAATGTTTTTATTGCGAAAAATTGGGACTGAATACGGATAAGTATCTCAAAAAAAAAAAACAAACTTAAATTCTGATAGCATTATTTGTATGTAGCATTTACTGAAATGGTGGATATAAAACCTTCATTTTTGTCCATGCCTCAAAAATCACAATAATAAATGCACACAGATATATGTATGATATAGTCAGTATGTTCATTCAAACACTGATGATGTTTGCGTATGCTGAATGTGTGACTGTTTTATCATATATGTCCCATGTTTTATCATTGTTTAGTAATTTTGACCATGGATGTTGAATATTTGAATGATTAGTTGATTGATATTGATTTAAATGCCACTTTCAGCACTATTGGTCAGTTTTTATTGATGGAGGAAGACGGAGTGAGAAGAAAACCACCAACCTTCGACAGGAAAAGTGACAATCCTAGTCAATTAAGATTTAGAGTAAAAAACAACTGCACGTGTGGGGTTCGAACTCACAACCTCAATGTTGGCAGACTACTGATACAGTAGATGAACTTCTTAGACCACTTAGCCAATGAGGAATGAGGCACCTATTTGAACTGAAAGCGTTTGGCTTCAAAAAGAGGGACGAAAGATACCAGAGGGACAGTCAAACTCATAGATCGAAAACAAACTGACAACGCCATGGTCAAAAATAAAAAGACAAACAGACAAATAATAGTACAGATGACACAACATAGAAAACTAAAGACTAAGCAACATGTTCTAATTTCAAATGGTGAATCGAATAACTTCATTTGTTTAGTATGTACCTTTCTTTCCTGTGAACTGTTCTTTTCTTTGGTTAAAATCAGATTTGGTTATTTTTTCTGTTTGAGAAGATGATAATCTTCCATTCTGTTTGTTCTTTTCATTAACTCGAAATTTAGATGAGTCTTCTCTGTGTGTAGAAGGAAGTTCATATGCAGGTTTGTAAGGATTTTCTTCTGCAAAAAAATAAGGTCAAACCGAGGGATAATAAAACACATTCTAATGCAATGAGTAATGTAAAGCCAATTTTAATAGGATTAAGCATGTCGTCAATTCCACTGTTGAGGATCAGAGTCATTGGCAATAATGTAGCACACCACATTTCAAGTTTGCAAAGTTTAATTTTGTGCATTTTAAGAGTATTGCATTAGAATAGGAATAACATTACTGTTTTCGAAGAGTTGCTATTTTCAATATTGCAAATATTCTAATTGGCTACATTCTGCATCACCAGTAAAACTGCATTTGCAACCATCAAACCCTTAACTGATGCTGACAATTCTATAAATACTGTAATGTTATTCCTTAATAATCATGCTTTGACTCTAGACAATCAAATACATTTTTTTTCTCAAAATTTTTAGAAATACATAGAATCCATACCAAAGCAATTACTCTCACGCACAAAAATACAGGTATAATATGCACTGGTATACAACACCCATATCATTGGCAGAACATGCAGGTTCCTTAGAAAACATAAATAAAATTCTTACAAGACGATAAATAACACTTCAGTAACACACAATTGAATTACATAATGTTGGCACATTGTTTATACTAAGTAAGGGTGAAATGAACATTTCTTCTGAATGACATAAGGTTAGTAACCAGTAAATTGCTAATTTGACTACTGGTATTAATAAACTATGACAAGCTACAGTTAGTGATAACTAATGTGATATAACTACTCTATGCAAACATGTCATGAAATAGTGTATTACGTTGTGTTTGAACAAAGGTGACAGGACAAAATTTATGTCTGCATTTGACTTGCATTAATGAATATTACCTCAAAAGATGAATGTTTCTATTTACTTTATATGGAGCATAATTTGAACAAGGGTAGAATATGGCATTGCCATCAGCGACTCTTTTCACAAAAAATCTTACGATTGAAATTGATCGTAAGTTATACTGAAATGTGTATGACTTACGAGTAAATTTACTCTTAAGATTTTTTATGAAAAGAGCCGCTGGTTTCTAGACTACACAATATAAGGAGAGAGATCTTTAAATTCTGATATTTTCAAGTGCTGGCTACAAGCTGAGTAAAATTAAGTGCTCTGATTTAAGCTTTGATCTTGAAAACAAACTGGTTTCATTTTAAAGAACAACTTACTGGTAACTGTTTCCTCAACTACAGGTTTCTTGGTATCTAAAAATGAAATGTTTTGATGATGTAACAACACAAAATATCACACACACACACACACACAGCAGGCAGGATGTTGTCAAACATGGTGACATTGGGAGGAACACTTCATCTCTGATTAATTTTGCATGGAATTTAAATAATTTATAATCAAGTATAACTCAATTAAACTTTATCTTGCTGTAAATGATACATAAATGTGCAACTACATGTACTGTTGATCGACAGTTTATTGCTCAAATGAAGTTGGTCAAATCATGCAAAGTTTTCAGAAATGAAAAACATGATATGATGTTTATATATAACTAGCACCTCCAAATTCCTTTCTACAAGTTAGTCATTAATCGGCAAGTTTTCAAAGATTGCTGGCTTTCGGATGTAAATGCTGAAAATTTTCCTCTTTAGCTAATATATTTTTTAAAATTTCAGCCTAAACATAAAGATAAAAGAAGCAAAAAACAATGTTTCATCTATTTTATTATCATTCTTAGATCTTGATGGTTTACAAACTTCAATTTTTTTCCCTATATGATCACTCTCTTGTCAAAATATATAATGAAATACCTAACTAAGAAAGACAAACAATTAGACAAACATCCTTACTAACTTATAATGTTTAAATGTAAATTCCTAACAATTTAAAACCCTTCTAAACATTTTAAAAACAATGACAAGACAAACTAAAGATGTAACTAATGTTTGTATATCCATACCTGATGAACAATAACAAATTCTGCTTATAATATATTTACTAGCGACAAAAATGTGAGATAACATCCGCATGAATTAGATCTATTGTCTACAGATACAAAATAGGACAAAAAACTTTGAATGGTTCATTTCATCTTGTCTAAAAGCATGTATCAATCAAAGTCAAATTTTTGTAAACTGATGTAAAATTAACCAAACTTTCATAATGTTTTGATTTTTATGATTTAAATGTTCTGTCTATTGTCAGTTTAAAAAACGGAGGTGTTATGTGTACTTTGCATGTAACAATGTAAACATGCTAGATGTGGTAAGATTGCCAATGAGACAACTATCCAGAAAAAAAGAACCAAATGACAAAAATGTAGAAATGTAAATAATTTTTTTCTCATGGTAAACTTAGCTTTTTTTGAAAATAATAAGTAATTTCCTTTTAAGAACAGAAAATAAAACTTTTTATCTTTAAATTAACTTTTCTTTAATTTCTCATTTTTTTCAGCAATTTTTTAATGCACAAATTGGACATTAAATACGTTTGTAACCATGCAAACAAAATATCAAATACATGCAGGAGGATGTACAAATATCATGCTAAACAGTTAATAGTAGTATCTGTATAAATATCTGTATAGATATCTGCTGCTTTTTTACACTTTATTGTACTATTAATTGATTGTTGTGTGCTTAGTGTCAAGTAACAAATATTTCATTTCCATTCTTTCAGAAATTAGATATGTTTGTCTTGCGGCCTTTGACTTATCTCAAAGGCATGGTGACAACAACCTTGTATAGAGTCAGCTTTATTGATGAAACATATAAATTCCTAAAAAACAACAATGCCTTAATACTTATATCAAAAAAGATAAAATGAAGTCTGAATTTGTGAAAAAGACCATTGACCTGATGAGCACTCTAAAGATGATATAAGATTCTAGGTCGAATAAGATATTCATCAACCAAAACCAAATAAATTAGTCAAGAAAATTATCAAAGCGACAAATTTTGATTTTATCAATCTGATATGTAAATCTGATAAATTATCATTTGTGACACAATCAATAGTCCTTTTTGTACTATGAAATATGCTGCTATGTGAAAAATGCACACTTGGCAAAAACTTGTATTACAAGGATCTAGAAAAAACGCTTACAATAAAAAGATGTATAAATATTCTTTGAACATAAAAGCATCAAAATCATAAACTGTTAACACAAAGATATGTCTCGCCTATTTGTTATTTTGATAATGCAAATGTTGAAATTAAAATAGCAATACTTGTAAGTTATGCAAATATTCAAAGTCAATGAACCATGACTGAAGGTACAGGGCTAAACAATCTCCATGGACATGAGATGTGCCAATGTTAATACAACTGCAAACCAAATACCATTGTCTTTTCGTAAGTTGTTCCCTTTAAACAAACCTAAACACAAACATTAACTTGTAAACTATGTAAAAGTTTCAAAGTCAATGAACAATAATTAGGGGGTGGGGTTATATAATCTCCAAGGAAATGAAACTTGCAAATGCCAATACATTTGCATACCAAATATCATTGACTTTACATTAGTGGTTCATCTTAAACTGACCTAATCACAAACTAATACATGAAAACTAAGCAAAAGTTTCAAAGTCAATAGACCATGAATGAGGGGGCGGGGCCAAATAATCTCCATGGAAATGAGATATGCCAATGCTAATACAACTGCATACCAAATATCATTGACCTATCACTAGTGGTTCACCATGAACTAAACCTAATCACAAACTAATACATTGTTGACTCTGCCGTCTTTGCCGGAAACAGCATACCTATGTCTCGCTTTTTGACTCCGTCAAGGCGAGACAAAATGCTTTTATTTCAATGTTAATTTCAATTGCATTTAAGTTTTGTCTTCAATTCAAAGCATGTCATTTTTCACAGGAGCCTATTCTTTTCACTTAAAGATATCTTTACACACTGTTTTTATATGATTTACAGTGACAGTCTCTTAGTACTTAACCGACCATAAACTTTAAGCAATATGGTGTGAAACAATGTGCTGCAATGTGAAAGGATACTTGGCAAAACCTTGTATTACAACTGTAAGGATCTAGAAAACAATTTTAAGGTTTATCAAATCATAATACAAATCAGTGATGTTTATAATATCTTTCATGGCCCTCGATGAGATAGAGTCAGAAAATAAGACTGGTATTACAGAGACCTTTTTTTAGAATAATCTGACTAAAGAATGATGCAAAAATGGAAATGAAATGTTTTAGTGTAATAGCCTATAAAATAACACCACCTAGCAAAATCCCTTATAATACTTCTAACTTGTTACATCATCCCTTTACTAGAGAGTTCTAGACCATTATTATGATAATGCCTTGAAAGAAATACCTTCTTTTGGCTTTGGTTCTGTCTTGACCTCTGGGAATTCATACGTAGGTCTGTAGGAGTTGGATTCTGAAATTAAGCAAAATCAGATCAAATATTTATATAAGTCCTCATTCAAATTTGAGAATGAAAACAAAATTATAGTTAACAATGTAAATGTTAAATATGGTATGATATGAAATGAGATGATCTAAACAAAATAAAAAATTATGTAACTAAACTATAATAATGCTGTTTAATGTCATGCATGATCATATCCTAGTACAGTATTTTCAAAACTGAGAAATTAAACATAATGTAAAACGACAAAGAACAGGTGAAATTCAGTAGTTGCTATAACCTTATATATAATATATTGTATATATAATTTAACTGAATTTCTACTGTAACATGAAGTTTAATATGGATAAGGTGTTAAAATTTATAAGATTAGTTTAAACAATTATGAAACCATGCTAAATATATGAATAGATAGTTTGTAAAATCAAGCACAGATAGTATTAGTTTAATGTTTTCTGCTGTCCATTCTATTAACTGTCACCTGAAAATGCAGCTAGTAACACCCTTTCAAATGGTAAGTGAAAAACCAATGTGATGCCCTATTTATCTCTTGTATATATAGAAAGATGTTCAAACAAATATCTTTTAAATTTTTTGTAATGTTCAAAACCATTTTTTGTTTCAAATGGTATACAAATAAAAGGTTCTTTCATTCTTTTTTTTAGGAAAGGAAGGGTTATCTGAATTCTCATCTTGTATAATAAATTGACATGTATGTTGATAGTTTTAAACCACGCATAAGATTCAATTTCACCTTCTCTTTTTTTCTCAGTCTTTTCATGGACCAATCCTAGGACACATGTAAGGATAATACCTTTAATCCTTGAAAACAAAATATTTTTCCTATTTTGACTATCACAACATGCATTTTCCTGTCCCAGACACAACATTAACATGACAATACAACGTAGCACAGACATATAGAGAATAAGTTTCCATCAATTACTAACTTTATACACAAATTATTTAAAGTAAACGCCTAATGGATCACAACTGTATCATTATATAACTTTATCTGAATCGTTTGCACATCAATCAATCCAATATTTAGTTTTTTTTTCTGTCTGGACATAGATTTGATTTAGTATTCAGTCCTCCATTCACACATGGAACCTTGTGTATCATTATGTAATGAAAAATATTTGTTAAGATGTAAAAGATTTTCTAGCACACGTTCTATACAAAAAGTTGTTTACAGACTGTATAATTAACTCCTTATATCCTAATTTGTACTTCAGATTAAAGAAAACTATCCCCCCCCCCCCCCCCCCAAAATAAAAATGCTTGAACCTTATTCAGTGGCGGATCCAAAGGGGGGGGTTTCCAGGGGTTGGAACCCCCCCCTTTTTTTTTATGATCAATGCATTTGAATGGGGACATATAGTTTGAACCCCCCTTTATCCTGGGTTGGGAACCCCCCTTTTTAAAATGGCTGGATCTGCCCCTGCAATAAGTGTGCCTCATTTTTTTTTCTCACTGAATTTTGACAGCAAGGGAATCATTGTTTTATGTATAGATTTTGAACTTTCAAGTTCCCATACATAAAGACTGATATGAATTCTCAATATTGGCAACCTGTCCACAGCCATCATGATATACTCATTGACATAGAATAAATCTGATGGTTAAATGTTGCAAATTCAAGACTCCAAGAAATTTGAGGTTAGACATGCAGAAACACAAGGCAACTGTACTACAAAACTAACTGGAATCCTTGGTATCATTATTGAGATCAAGAGTTTGAATTAATTTTATTGTTAGTTTGGCATTATTTTCAGTGACACAGCTCTTTATCATTGTTCCTATCATTCAAGTTCAGTTTAATAAATAGACCAACAAAGGGGCAAGTTACAGGCACCATCCTGCTAACAGTAGTGTATAACATATGATATGGTCATGTGCTTCAGTACAGAAGAGATGCCAAGACTCTTTAATCAAAGCAGCATACACATGTTGTATAACACGAAAAACATAAATACATGTACAAACACTAAAGGGAAAGGTGAAACAAGACAGATAAACTAAAAATATTCTCACCGAACAGTTCACTCACTGAGACAGCATTTAAAATAAAATAATACATACAATTACACACACAATAACACATGCACATCAAGTCAAAAGAATTCACGTACATGACAAGGAATATAAATGCCTCAGATAAATGCAGAAACTCTCCGTTTTCATTTTTCATTGATTTTCAATCTGATAAACAGACAAGATATCTTATCAAGATTAACTTTCTAATAGAGCTATTTTTAATCACAAAGTATACATATTATAAAAAATTCTAATTTAAAATGTAAATTTCATTTGACTGTCAGATTGTCATGGTAAAAAGATTTTCAGTGTCTGTTTTTTTTTTCTTTTCTGAAAGTGTTTAAAATATAATCTTTTCATCTGATAAAGTGTAACATCAACATGATTTTAAAAGATAAACCTAAATGTACAAACACATATGAATAAATCAAATTATGAGATGCAATTTAATATATATGACTGAAATGATATAATAATTGACAAATGTGATGTAATTTCCTCATACCGAGTATCAAATCATTGACAACTTCAAGAAAGAAAATGTAATATGCAACTGAATCTTAACCCTTTATCTATAAACCAATTTATTTACAAGTCTTTTCAATTCGTTCATCAGAAAAACTAAATAAATGGTCTTTGTAGTTATGCAAAATATTCTGCCTCCATAACATAAGATTACTCAATTTGTAACTTTTATAAAATCTAATTGGATATGAGCTGGTGGACTGAACAAGTTGATATGAAGGTAAATGTGCTGACTGGACAGATCAACATTCAAATGAAGGGAAACATGCTAGAATGAACAAGATTCAAATGAAGATAAATGTATGGTTAGGGTATACAAGAGAAAATGAAACTTCTGGAAACTTGTTGAATGCCAATATGATTTCTTGGAAACATTCTAAGGCAACCTGCTTTAGTTTCATTAGGACCTACCATCTCCCATATCAAAAATGTGTAAAAGTTATTCCAAACACCATTTACAAAAAAAGTTAAACCCAGGGTGGAAATTGCATGGATAAGGGTAAATGAACATTTTTAGTTTTAGCCTGATAAATAGTACAAATTTGAACATTTATGACCTGTCCAAAATTCTTGAATAAACCATTTTTTGATGCCATCACTTATAAATTGTATTTCATTACTTTTAATTGTTAACTCTTTGCTTCAGTAATGCTTAAACTAGGTTTCCTATAAGGTCAAATTTAAGTCCAGAATGGTGAAAACGAGGACTCACAATTTCAAACACCACAATATTTTGTTGCAATGTATGCATTAGCCAAACAGTTTGTAGTTTTGGACAACAATTTCAAAACTGCAGATGAACATGTGATCACCATATAATATGGACTCAGAGTTTTACAGTCAAATCTAACCATTTGAAAATGACTGCTCTTACTTATCAACTAAATACTTCTGTAAAGCAATCATTCATGAGCCAAAAAAATATTAAGGAATTAAAATGGAATACTTTTTTTTTTAAGAGGAAAATGATTTTTTTGCAGTTACAGATTTACAAGGAAATGCTCATAGGAAAAAAGTGTACATCACAAATATATATGTTAACAATTCAACTTATAAATTGAATTATGAATAGAAAGACTGTTACATGAGAAATCAAATATTTAGAACATGCAAAAATATCAAAAATAGCAACAGCTTTGAAAAATACATATATATACAAACTGTGATATATCTGTGTATTTATAAAACATATATCATTAATATTCTGATAAGAGGTTGTATTGCTGAAAGGATATTAGATTGTAATGATTTTTCTGATAGTTTAAGACATGTTCACAAGCTATTTAACATCATTAGAGTAATTTAAATAATTTCAATGATTTTTATGGTCATAAATAAAATTACAGAAAGCATGTGACATTTTTCAATCAGTGCTTTTCCTGTAAATGAAATTAATAAAAATTCAAACAAGATATATTGCTTTAAAAAAAATCATCATGTGCAGTTAATCTTTCTTGAATTTTTTTTTTTTTTTTTTAAATATCAAATTATAGAACCTTATTTTTTTTTAACCCTAAAAGATTTTCCAGGTGTAGAGAAAAGACCGGTCAGCTCCGAGTCAGAATAAAGTATCTTGGTAGAGTGAAATGTTCTTCCTGAAAACTGTTACCTTGTGAACTAGCACATTGAAACTCCGGCTCAGCATGTTGGTCTTGTACAAAGCATGGTTAATAATCCTTTTCCATTAACATGTTTTTGTCCTGAATATGCATTTAATTTGCCACTGGACTTTAAACTGCCATCCATCATCATCATCAAAGATTTTCCAGGATTAAGTACCCTGTTTAATCAATGTTTTAAAAGATATCCATGGTAACACTAACTGCTTATTTAATGCCTCTTTTGAGCATTTTTATAAAAAGTTTTTAATGAAGGATTACTAAGCGAGGACTTTCTTACTGGTATTTTTATTCTAATTAATCTGGAGTAATAAGATGTCTATAAGAATGAGGGAACTATAAGTAGCTTAACATATCCTAAACACAGGTTAAGTATTAAAAAAATCAAAGCAGACATGATCCCCTTACTTTACTTTATTTAAACAATTCATTTACTGGAAAAAACATTAGGAAGAAGTTTCTTTATTTCTTTGAATTATTGCAAAAATACTTCAATTCCAGGGGACATTTTTTGTGTTTTTCATTAAATCTAATTAACTCATTGGTACCCTTCCAAAAATGATGTTATAATATTCTATGACAATTTAGAAATTAAATTGGTTTTTACAGCCTATTCAAGTCATAATAACATTTTTTTTACTGCCAACAGATGGAGATAATGTTCATTGATCAAAATGGTATCTTTCAATGTTTCATAAATATAATGTCTTTTAATCAGAAAAGAACATTTCAACATAAAATATTGAAGCTAAAACCAATACAATAAAATATTCAAATAGAGGAACAATTTGCCAGGTGACTTCTAAATAAATTAATTTTGATCAGTAGTAAAGCTATTTAATTTAGTAAAATTTCTTTCTTTTATAGCAAATCAGGTCGAAGATATAAAATCTTTTGAAATCTTGTATAAAAGAATGCAAGTGTTAACATTGTCCTCAATAAGAACTGGTGTTTATTATTTTCTACAATTAAAATGTGTACTATATTGAAATCCATACAATGTAAACCACAATCTTTATACAAAGGCAATCTGATTGTAGACTGCAAAGTCCTGATAAGATTGGTAACTAAATAGTCATTGCACAAAAGAAATGAGTTTCTTTAATTGAAATGCATTTTTTTTCAAAATGCTAATTTGCATATAAAAAGACATATTATTCTGAAAGGTCTTTACAAAGTTATAGTTGGTATTTGAAAATGTCTGATAATAATAGATATAATTGAATATGCAATTAGCATTCATAATTCATAATTCATTAGTTAAAGTAACACCTTTAAAAGATATTGAATTTTAATATGTTCTAACTCATCACATTTATTTACTACATGTCCTCTTTCTGACTCTTAGAATTTTATTCCGTTTATCTATTTTCATCCTAACCATGTATTTTGAAGATATTGTGGTCCATTTTTTTTTTTAGAAGTTTAACATTATATGCACAGTTAAACACAAACACGACATAGGAAAGAATTAAGGTTCAAATTAAGATTCAGCAAAAAGAATGCTGAAATATAAAAAAAAAAACAATATATAATTGAACAAACTTATATCAAAAAATATATATGTGAACAAAAGTTTGTACGAGCCACATGCAAGGGAGGTAATCAACAACAAAAGCTGAACAAAAAGTAAAACAACCTGCTTGTTTGTATAGACAATCCATGATAACCGTTACATCTTCTACCTCCTTCTCTGTAAATGACACATCCAAACAATAAAGGAGTTAGTACATTATTATGGGTGTTAGTCTACTGTATTTTAATCTACGCAATGTCAGTTGTGTTGAAGCTACTGTGAAGTCATTATTTTTCAAGAGATACCAATTTTCTTGGATTTCATAAGAAAGGTGAACCACAAATTTAAGTGATCAACGAAATACAAATTACCTTAACTTTGGCAAAACCAAAAAATTAAGTATCCAAGAAAATACAATATTTCCTCAATCCACAAAAATTGGTACCCACAAAAATAAAAGAATCCACAGTAATCAAAAGTCATGTTCATTTGTAGGTTGTTATAAAAAATTTCCAATGAAACTGAAAGGAATTCTGTTAGATTTAGAGTAAAAACAATACAGTGTTTTATGCATATTTCTTAATAGCGGTCAGATGTTTTCTAATCTTGTTCAATGCCAAATGTAAAATGATAATAAACAAGAAGCTGCAATTACATATTTAACATGAATCTGTATTATTTTGTTCTGCACAAATGCAGTAAAGCAGAACAACTTGAAAGATTTTATAATAAATTAGCAGCTTTAAATTCTAAATGGCTCATATAGAATAAATTCAAGTGCAAATTAGGTTGCTTTATTTCAATTCTAAACTTCTAGGTGTATTCCACATTTCAGTTGAAACGTATCTTTATTTTTTCCTTTTCTTCTTTTTTGCACACTACTACTGATCCAATGTTTATATTTAAATACAGTAGAAAAATGATGAGGATAAAATGATCAAAATGATTGTCAACAGCACCAGTTATTTGTATGATGTTTATGAAAGTCATGCTAACAAAGGCTCATGGGAAAAGTCACATGATTACAATCTTGAAATGATCAAATTTCTTCAAATCCCAAACACTGAAGGGTTACTATGAACTTTATATACCGGTAACAGGAATGGGTAAAACAAGTCCTATTCTTTACAAGACATCCCTTAAGGACAATCTGTCATGATTGGAATGAATAAAATGTCACTGAAAATTTTCATTAGTGGTTAGTTAACGTGAAGTCTGTCAAATTTGCTTGTCTGACAAAAAAATTAAACATGTTTTTTAACAATCAAAATATTCAAGTGGTATTTAAAAACAATAGCATTTTACAATTTTGAGCCATGTAAATTTTTAAGTAATATTGTCATAACATGCAACTACCTTTTATTCACGACAACTAAATAACAGAATTGTCAACGAAGACAGCACAAGATATTAACGTGCCATTGTTTTCAACAAAAGCTCACTGTTTCACATATCAAAATACAGGACAAAACTCCAAACATTTGTACACGGTATGCAATGCAAATAGTTTGTTCACAGTTAAACATGGTAAAACAAATATGTAAACAGTGCTGCAATATAATGCCCCATTTCCATTCTTTTGAAAAAGTTGTTAGTTGTGCCAGTTGTGTTGATATAATCTTTTAAAACTTTAAATACATGAATATTTGAAAGTGAGGTGAAAAAACCAACAAAAAATCCATTTATCAAAAAGGTGAAAAATTTCAATTTTTATTTCAGGGTCGAAAGAAAACACAATGTCTTCATAAAAACTGGGAATGTCGATGTAAAATTCTGTCTTATCTGGATAAAATATTGCATAGTAACTTTGAAATGTGAGATTTGTTATCTGCATTTGTAACTAGTATCAAAATCACAAACAAAAAAGCCATTCAAACATTTTCTTTCTCTTACCAGTTTCTGTTACTTCACTAGTTTCTCCTGAATTAAAATAGGTCAATAATACTTTCTACGTTGTGCTATTAAGTTTAGATCTTTTATTCAGATTTGATTTCTTTTTGAAGTGTATTGAATAAAAAGCATACATGTTATTGGTAAAATTGACAGAAGTACCTTGCAAGTCTGTGATTTCGGGTTAAAAAAATCTTGACTACATATAGTAAATTCGTTAACATGATAAGCTACAATTGTTTTGTTGCAGCTCCTAAACTTTTCACCTTTACCATTTACAATTACATGATTAAGTAAGCATTTTAATTTACAGATATATAGGCATGTTATAATGTGAGGGAGGCATCTCTTGATTGGCTTTGTTCATACCTGGAAGAGTTCTTCTACGCTTAACTAAAACAGTTAAAAACAACTTATTCACACTCATAAGACTTGTGCTTATTCAAGATGCTTTTCCTTATCAGAATACCAGTTGGTCAAAACGCTTTGTTCAAGTTGCAGTTTAAATTCATTTTTTCAAATTGATGAACTGGTGAATAGTGCAGCCCATTGTAAGGAAATTTTGTTAGTATACAGAAGGCCTAGTATAACAAAGATATTCTTATCATACAATATCTAATGATTGACTTTCTGTCGAGAAATGTGGTAAAATCATACAACTTGTTCCAGGCACTTTAGTATATAAATAGTTTGATTTTGATATGAAATCTTCTATAATAATGATATTTTGTAATTAATTGCTTTTTTAACCTCTTGTAAGGGAAATCCCATGTATGTATTAATGGGCTGACATTTCATTTGAAGAAACAATTCTAGAGAAAATTTGTTGGGTCATTAGTCTTCTGAAAAGGCAAAGCATTTTGGATAAGCAGAGTATTAAGGATATTATTAAAATAAAACTGGAACAAACCTTATAGGTTTATTGAAGAAATTATTAGAAAATGGAAACTTTTTTATAACAAAGTGACCTGGTTAAATATATTGAAAATGTGAATAGCAGAAAGTTACCAGAAATATGAGATGTATTTCTAAATGATTCTACTCTCTATGGATGATGTTATAAATGCAATGGCTATTAAAATCCAAATTTTATGGGAGGCAATGAAATTGATTAATTGTGGGTGGTAGTATTTCCAAAGAATTTAGCCTTAAATATAAGTAAAATGAAAATTTTTATATTATGCACATATTTCTGGAACCGCTCTTATCTAGTCTTCTTTTTTTCCCTAAGATCTACTCTAGTAATTCTAGTTTTCACTCATGACTTTTTTTTTTCTCTTAAGTTAAAACATAATTTCATTAAGATTGATTGATATGCGTAGGTTTTCCGCTGTAAGATTTCAAGCCAAAAGAAATAAACTGTAACAATTTAAGGTTAGCTAAACATGGCATATTTTTGTAAGATAGGTCATTGTCCTTTGTATTGTTACAATCCATTAAACAAGTTTGCTTAATCTGTTGGATGAAATTTGTATGTAGAGTGTCAAGTTAAAATAGTGAAACCTTACAAATATGTCAAATATTTATTTCCTTGTCATCAGTATCTTTAACAAATGTATCCTGCCGTAAAATATCAGTATCATTTATCATAATACATTTTTTGTACAATGAATATGAGGTTCACGATTTCATTGGCTACACGAAAACTACATATGTATCAATCCCAACTGTAATATTTTTCAACTATTTTAATTTTGATTGTCCAAATTTATATCTCAGATTCAAATAAAGGTGTAAAACAAACTCATCATAGATACCAGGATTAAATTTAGTACGTCAGACAAGCTTTTTGTCTACAAAAGACTCATCAGTGATACAAGAAGATATTATTTTGTTTTTTCTGTCTCTGACATATATTGGATTGTATTTTCATTTCAAAAGGGTCAATCAAATTTCTAATTATTCAAAGAATACGCTATGAAAATCAAATACAAGTCCATCCATTTGTAACTGCGTTAAAATGGAGTAAGTTCATAATAGAGCAGAAACTCTCTTATCTAATGCATTTTACTTCAATTAGAGATACCAGTATTTGAAAAAAAATATAGCTGATAAAATCAAATCAGCTTTTGCTGGAAATTAAAAGGTGTTTGAACTGGTGAAAAAATGTGTATAACCTATAAGTGTTTTCATTCTAACCTAGCTTAGGAACTAAGGCCCACATAAAATGTATTTTTCATAAAATAAGTGATGTCTGAAAAAAGAACATCTCAAACAGGTATTGGTTCCCCTGCTGTAAACTTGCCATTATTGTTATAATCATTGTTTACCTTCCTTCTTCTTTGACGTATGAAGACTTTTGTACATCTGTTTATACCACTGGTGTTGATTCTTCTCATCTACATTCTGTCAAATATAAATAATAGAAAAAAATGTTAAAACATTGCATGATGGCTACTGTTTGACTTTTTTTAGGGTTAAACAACAAATTTCTAATCCAGCTGTACCAGATATTTGCCACTGGACATTAAACTAATAACAATCATGATATTAATATTTATCATATATTTAGTACTTGTTACTGCAATTTTGTATATTTGATAAAGATTAGGCCCTCTGGCTGATATTGATTACTCGGGCTGATACAGCATGTGATATTTACAATACAGATTTTACCATGTATTATTCTCTATGTATTACCAGTATTGCCAGTTGTCATGATAGTGAATACCGGACTTAGACTGACCACCATTAGAAGAACCATTGACTATTTGACTATTTTTATTATTGCCAACAGACTTTTTTCACCATATGTGTCATACAGATTAATTAGGTTTATGGTGGTCACCTTCCGACCTTTAGACATTATGGTCAGTAAAATATGCAGTTTGTATCAAAACTTTGTTGTTGTCACATTTTTTTTTATATCTATCAAACAAACTGAAATGAATAATTGACCTTGTAGACTATGTTTCAGATTTACAAAATAAAGCAGCAGATATTGCTGGGTTTTTAATATTTTTTTCTTCTTTTTGACAACTAGAAAATCAAGATAAGACTACAAATTTAGTCAAATTCAGTCATTTTTGCAGTTCATGCATGGAGGTCAAAAACAAGCACTCACAGGCATCTTTCTGGGATGTCAGAGCTAAACATCTGTGCATTGGCTTTATCAATGAAGACATCATGACTAGTTCAAATAGATTATTGTTAAATGTCTAGGATGATATTATAAGCCGTATTCATTATGAAAACGTGTTGGAAACATGATAGGGAAATAGTTTTGCAATTAAACAACAAAATAAGACTAGAATGGAACACACTGGATCATAAAGCAAGCATTCTGCTGAAAGCATTTTACCCTGCCCTATTAAATGTGTTTCACTCCTCATTCTGCATCCTTAGAAATAAACCATGTTTTAAACTTTTGGTTTCACCTGGCTAGGAACCAAACCCATAACCTCACTAAAATCTTAAAGGGAAGCATGCTACCACAATTCCATCAAAGAAATAGGCCAGTGGGTGAGTAAATCAGGGCACCATTGAAAAAATATCAACCTTCAAAAAGTCAGTGACTTTTTCTCAAAATTCCAAACCACAAAAGCTGAATCAAGGTTCAAATGAAGTTTTGTGCAATGCAAAATGACAACCTTTGTACAAATAAAAAAATCTATAAATTATGTTATCGAAATCTATCAACAAGTATGATTTCATTTCATTTAAAGTACTGAAGCATACATATAAAAACTTGAAACTAATTTAAAAAGTTTAATTATTTGATCACAGGTTACAAGTATTCATAAATATTGTTTTCTTTTCGAAAATTGTATATTAGTTTTACATTAATGACAATAAAACCCAAAAACTATACAGTCTAATATACACCCCTCTCTTGTACTATAGCCAAACTATTCAATAATCAAAATCTATAATAGTTTTAAAGAGGGATCACAATCTTTTAATATCTTAAGACAGATCAAATTAACAACAGAGACTTTCAAGTGATATTTGTTCTCCAAATAATATTGATATTGAATAAAATATAAATAAAGTAGCCTGAAGACTTGAAAAAGTTTGTTTTTTCCATAACACTTAAATTTAACCTCTTCGCTATTTTAATTACAGTAATTTCAAAGCTATCTGAATTCAATACCAGCTCACAACAGTTGTTCAATATATGTATTCCCCAATTTGGCAGCACGCCATATTTAATTAAGGTTATTTACAAAAGTCTTAACGTAAGAGCCATACATTGTAACACACGCTTCTAATACGCAAACATTATTATGCTATCATGGTTAAGTTTATCTTCCCTATACAATATACAAATAATTTCATGTGATTAGAAGAAAAGGTTCTTAATGTATTAATACAGATAGCAGATAATTGGACCAAAGACGTATACAGGGGTACACTGGCTTATAATTGTAATTTATTTATTTATCAATTTACCATTTAAATGTTATTCTGTGATTGTAATTAGACGCTTAAAACTGTTTGATATACAAGAACTCGACAAAATGACAACCATAGACCTTGTAAGGTATTGGAAGACAGAGTTGTAAACATTTACTTTTTCATCAGTTATGCGGACATTTTCAAAAATAAGAATGCTATTTGCTTCAACCTTTACTGACCCTGTTTAAGTAATCAAGGCAGTAAATAAGAATTGACATACTCTCTAGGAGATCTAATGAAAAACTAAAAACAGGACCTTTTCAGGACATTATTGGTAAATTTGATGCTGTTTTGCATTATGTCCAGTCGACACAATATAGCTTTTTACGCTGATGAGGCGTAAAACAACAATTATTTAATCAATCATTATGTCCATTGGTGAAATATGTCCTGTAAGAGAAGGACAATTAAATTTTCAAATGGAAAAAGAGGGTATATATGTTTTTTAATGGCAGAACAAAAATTGTTTTAACAATTCAGTGGTCTTGACATCTAAGGTAATAGGACAAGCAACAGCAATTTAACATTTTTATTTATCTTCATTCCAGTTTAGAAATTGTTTTATTTAACTTAAGTTTGACCCCATTCATGACAACTTGCAACAAGTACCCAAAAGGGTGATTTATTTTCCTTACACTAACTGGAAGAGCCCTCCGCCAAATCCATTTAATGGAAAATAACCTTATTACAAGAGCAGTTCTCTATTTGCTAGAAGGCCTTCAACAATGCAAAATAGAACTGCATATACAAGTCTACTGGCCCAACATAAACCAACTTTGAGTCAACTAAATACATACAAAGTAACCCCTTGTTTACCCTCCCAGTTACATATCATGAAAATCTTACACATAATTATATAATTATGACTAATTATATGACATTTCATGATGTAAAGTGAAATATGATCAGTCAGGTTTTGTCCAAGGTGATTTCTTTCAAACCTGAGCTTAAATATCTATGCAACCTTGATATAAAATATTATTAAAGCATGGGAAATTATTGTATTTTTAAATGTTTATTTTAATACAATTCACCTGGATTGCCCTAGCAGTAACATGTTTGTTGTTTATTTAAGTGCTGTTTGTACCTTCACCTGTGTTGTTGCCTATTGGGATTGTTTGAACTACTGCATGGCAATCTATGTATGTTATTCATGAACCCAGAGCAGATTAATATACATTATTTGTACATAATGTGTGTAACCTTAATTCTTATTTGCAAGAAAACATTTGAACAAGTACATAACCATATAATATGGCTGAAAAAAATCTCATATAAGCTGATTCAACATGTGCAATTTAGTTTTTTGTTTTTCTCTGACCTTTGAATTTTGCATGTGCACATAGAAAGCTTTTATCACATTGGTTTTTGAGTTTGATCATCAACTGGATAATTTTTTATATAAATATTTTGTGCTGCTATGCACCAAAGCATACTTAGCATTTAGGAGTAAAGGCAGGACAGTCATGTCAACCTGAGCAACATATCTTAATGTGAACTGCTACCGTGTGAGCTGGTATGTTAAACCAGGCCTAAAGAAATATGTGTCTAAGGAACACATTGTCATGTTGACTGAATTGTGACATCTGGGTCCAAATCCTAATTTGGCAAATATTCTATGAAAGTTAACATCACAATGAACTTGTGTACTAAATTTCAAGTAATGGTGAGTCCAAAACTAGATGCTAAACTATCTTAACCAAATACTTTAAACTGAGACAAGATGGATTAACAGACTGGAAAACATATTGCCTCCTAATATCATAGGCAGGGACTTAAAAAAAAGTTAAGAAATATTCAAATGAAATCATCTTTTTCTTATCACAATGGACATCAGTTTGAAACTAAATCTGGCTATATTTGGTTCTGAATGGTCAAGTTAAGTTTATTGACAGATAGATGTTAAATTGACCCAACATGATGGAAACAGCTTACATTTGGCTCATGGTGCATCATATTTGAGATTGCACTCTTAAAACAAATGTCCTTCTGTCCAATTTGAAATATTATCAATATCATTCAACAAACCACTAAACTGATTGCTTTTGGCTTTGTAGTAATCATTTTTGTAATATTTCACCCACAGATACCTGCATGTTTGTTTTCCAACCTACCATTCTAAATGACAATGGCATGCCTCCATCGTCCGTAGGACCGATGCCATCATATTTCAAAGGTTTCTTCTCTGAAGGACTAGTAGGGCTTTGTTGTGACATATCTTCTTCTTCTGTTGTAGGTACAGCGTAATATGTATCTGTATGTTTCAGTCCATCCTGTACTAAAGCTTGTTCTCCTATATATAGTGCTCCCTTAGGTATTTGACCCTCTGTAAAAACAATAAGAAACTGCTCATTATTTTGTTTTCGATTATGAACTATATGTAAAAACTAATATAAGAAATAATTTAATGATATACATAGTTAATACATCATACATTCACATTAAAACAACAACTCTTTCAATTGTGAAATTTTAAGAGTAAAAATTCTGCATGTCATGTGCCATGAAATCAGTATATGTCAATTATATCATACCAGGCTTCAAAGCTCTGATGTATATCTGCACACAGATTATATCTGCTATAGTAAGGGTTATGGTGTATGGTATGTAATTGAAGTTGCATGGCTCGATCTGAAGTTTTGTTGTTTTTTTCCATCACACCATGAAATTGTACAAATATGCAGAAAGAGGAATAAAATTCCATCAAGCGAATAATACTAATAGACCCATGTACCTGCTTTTTGCAATAAACAATTTTAAAATCTGAAATTGGAGGAAATTTTAACTTCAAGATATTAATTTAATTAACAAAAAGATCTATATAATACAATATTTGACCCCTAACTGTCCTTTTATATAGAACTTATTATTTCTGTGTGATTTAAAGTTTGAAGATTTTCTTCTGTTGACATTCTGTATACAGCTAGCTTTGATCTTTAATGTTTTTCTTCTGAAAAACTCTTAAAATACTGCTCACTCAACTTCCTGTAAATTGTCTTTCAAAGTTAATTTTCAAAGTTGAATACATGTGAAGAAAGTGCACCAACTGAACTTTGTTAATGTGCAAGAGATCTCTTTAACTTGACAGAAGTGTGCATGATTCATATTTTATCACCTGAACCAAACAACTATAACACTTATAAACCACAAAGAAGACAGAACCTTATGTATAAATGTCTGGCTATATATAGTCCTCCTCAAAGCAAACATATTAAAACTGCATATTCATTTTAATGTCTGGATAAAAAAACAATGATACATGTACATGTACAGTAAAGACGTCAGCTCTTTCATACATCGTTAAGTATACCCAATCACTTAATGACGCAAAGTTAAGACAATAAATCTACATAATCATTGTTAATGTCTCCATAAAAAAACAATTATACAGATATGTGTTTAGTAAATATGGTGGCTTTTCCACCATTAATTCTGTAGTATAGAGATATTTCATGGGTAAAAAAGGGGAAAAACCATGAAATTAAATGCTTGTATTCAATGAAATACGAATTTTAGTTACTTTGTTAGGATTCAAAATTAGGTAACCCACAAACTGCTAAGTTTGATGAAATTGTGACAAATAATACAAACAATAATTATTGAATCTGCAGTACCTTTCTTTCAATGGAATGTGAAAGAATGTGATATGAATGGAAATTCTGAAAATAATTTTCAAAACTAGTTTTCATCCTTATAGTATTTCGTCATAACCATTTCCTTTTTAGTTTGCTAAGACATATCTATCAGCCTGTTTCTTAATTGTAAATAATTGATGTGTTTATAAGTATTACACTTTTTGATGCAAATAATGCATTTTTCAAATTTTGAAGCATTGATAAATCACTTAGAAACCATTGATACCTTAAGCAATGTAGGATATGTTACAGACATAACCTTTTTGAGGTGAATGAGGACTTCCTGTTCACCTGTCTATAGACAGAGACAGATGAACTGTCCAGTCAGATTATGTAGGTATACCATACCTGTATAATCCATCAACCTTACAACATAACCATGTAAGGCCAGACTTTATTAGATTACCAAATTATTATAATGTCACTGTATAGTTTTGGTCTTCATAGGAATAGTGTTAATGTATAAAGATGGGTTCAGTTATCTTGTGCACCTTCAGCACTTTACTTATATGAAATTAATTTAAAACAAGAGAAAACATTGTTAGATCCATTGTTGGATACTATCAACTGGAACTTGCACTTTAATGGCAGTGAAACACAAGACCTTACGCTATGTTCTATCCTGAAAGAGAGGCAAAAGATACCAGAGGAATATTCGATCTCATAAGTCGAAATACAAACTGACAATGTCATGGCAAAATATGAAAACTACGAAAAGACAAACAGTACACAAAACACAACAAAGAAAACTAAAGACTGAGCAACACGAACCCCATCGAAAAATGACCTTCAAATGGAATTTTTAAAAGTTGCTTACACCTGGAAAAGGGGATATCCCATCTAAGTTTAGTTGAATTTTACATCATTCAAAAAATCTTAGAAAAGAGGACCTGCCAATGCAAACAAGCATCCTACAGGTCATACTGTATTCTTTGTCAGAAACTATATTAAAATACATTTATACAGGACAGTATAACATCAGTGTTATATAAAAGTTTCAATGTTTAATCCTTATGCCATGACTTATCAATGCCAAAGTTAAGTAGTTAACAAAATGACAAACATTACATTTATGTATTTCTGGTATTTAAAATATTCAAGCAAAGAGTGATACTATCTGGGTATATATTATAACACCAGTACTTGAAGTACTCTTAACTCTGTTTGAATTGATCTTTATACAAATTGTACCCTTTATTCTTCAACAAATTGGGACTTTATTTCACAGCAGATCTTAGACAGTTTGTAGAAACAATATATATACAAACTCGAACATCATTTTGTCAACCTATTTTTCCTTATACATTATATCAACAATAGAATTATTTCTGGTTTATCCTTATCATGTTACTATAATTCTTTTGTTTATGATAGAGAAGATATTGCAGATTCAAATCTGTATGTGGACTTTAATTTTGCACATTAATGTACTTTTATGTAACACTGTTTAAAGAACAGTGCACTGCTACATATATATCCTACAATATCATTTTCAAAGTAATACAATAAATTTGCATACAATCATGCTTCTGTTCTACAAACACTTAGATACAACTAATCTGAAGTGGAATATTATCTCTCTCATTCTATATTCAAAATTGGTATTGACGTGTTTGAAGAAAAAAAGCTTTTATCGAAAAATAACAAGGAAAGCGAAAGCGTATTACATAATCAATGTCTTTTTAAAACTGCAACACTTATACATGTATAATATTAGTTTTAATTAAACAGCTGTCTGTTTACATCAACCAAAATTTTTTATTGAACTCATTTGATCTTCACATGTGACAAAAATCTGAAATGGTTTTAATTTTTCTAAAGGCTAATAGATTGCATGATTTTAATAAAAAGATGCATGTTCTGCCAAAAGCTTTGTGCTTATAAATCAAATAAATAGAGAATGTGTCCATGGGACACAGATGATGCCCCTACTTGCATATAATGTTATAAAGGGACATAACGAGAGTACTGTAAAAGTGACACAACCCAATTCAAACTTGATCTGTGTTTTATGGTAATAAGCATTGTGTATAAGTTTCATAACATTTGGTTGAGGCAAACTAAAGTTAGAGAACGGAGATGAATTTTGGGATGTACGGACTAACCGACAAGGGTAAAACTTAATGCCCCCTCCGCTACAGCAGGGGCATAAAAATTTGGAAGTGTAATAAATTTTTCTTGTTTGTCATGTGAAACCAGACTACTATTTTGTAAATATATATATAGAAATACAGATTTATGCATCAAAAATTCCCTCTCTGCATATACAATGTACAGCTATTTGAATATAAGATGATAGACCTAAACCATATAGATTTTGATAGGATTACAGGGCTAGATGATCCCCATATGAGAGCAACATGTACAATGAATCATGCATCTTAAAGGTTGTACACAAACTTCTCTAAAGTCCCATTCCCGATTAAGACATATTGGTGCACGGATTGAATTTTAGTAAAACATAAACCATTATTCTTTCTGCTGCCAACTATTAACATTTCCAAGTGAACTACACTGATACAAATCTTGATTATATAATTTTGATAAAAATAAACTACCTGTTTCACTATCTTTAGATCTACAAACATGGCATATTAAATTAACCTAAGGCTACAGGTACTTCTGTTTATTCTACAGGTATATCATCTTAATCTTTTAATATGATCTCAAATTAAATGTTCTTAAAGTAGATGTTTGGAATTCAATTTATGATGCAATTTTGGAGAATTCTTTCTCAAAATAGAAGGCAAAAGTCATTTGTTATAATTTGGTAATTTTAGTCTTTTCTGCTGTCCCTTGAAAGTAACTTGCCTAAAGGCCTAATTAGTTCTATCAGTTTGCATTAATTACTACAAGGCCAAGTAAATTTCACTGAAGGCAAGTTAATGTATGAAGAAAAACTGGCCTGCTTTCGGCATTGGGATATCATATGCATCACGTTTCAGCACTGGCGGTAATCCTGCCAAATAGGGACAGCAAACTGGACAAAAGATGGAATTTTAGATTCAAAGTAAAGAATTTGATACAATGAGTTAACAGAATAGTTTTATCTTTGAAATTTCTTCTCAGAGTAGCTTGTTGTTCGGTGTGCTGATAGACAGAAAAAAGTTTTGCCTTAAAAGCAAACCTAAAAGGAAAGATTTCGCTAGATATGATATATTAATCTTGTTTAATACTGTACTTTTTTTTTTAAATTTCTAAACCAAAACTAGATTATTCTATAAGTATTTCAAAAGCAAAGCAAAGTGTCAAAACTAGCTTATTCTATTTAGCAATTTTAGCAATGCAATAACTTGCACTAGTCCTATTCGGCTTTGCATAATTTGAAACTATAATGCAAGGCAAAAAAATTGTAAATAATCTAATCATACATAGCTAAGATTTTCTATTTGTGCAATATTTTAGGACTTAACTCTATACTTGGCAGGGTTTCATGTCCCTATTACAAAGTCATATCTATCTATGTGTATGTTAACTTCTTTTATATCTACAGTACATGTAGTCAATGCTACTTGTTTCTTTATTCTTTTCAGTCTTGAGGTTAAATAATGGATATGTAGTCTTAACCACAATTTAACAATTAGAGGGTAATACATGTACACAACAGTTATGACTAAGGATTTATACAAAGACAGATATCAATGTTTGCCTTTTAGGAGCATTGCTACATACATTACTTTCGTAGCTTTAAGATTAGTTTGAACACAAAGAAAGGAGTAAAAGATTCCCATAGCATTCCTTTAGGTTTAAAGTTCATTATGGAGTTTTCATAGGAGTGCATATTAGTTAGGAATAACTAGTTAGATGTAGTATGACAGCCCAATGTTGCTTATATAAGCTACTGATAAATTGAAAAGTTTTTTTTCGTGGTATATTCGACCTACTATTTTGTTTGTTCAGTTTTCATAGTTCAACACTGGTGTCAAAGTAGACATTGTGAGAAAAGAATTGAAATATGAAAATTCAATATTTAACTTTCTCACTTAAAAAAGAAATGCATTACAAAGATTCCAGCTATTTCAATACTACCTTTACTAATCACTTGTTATTGCTGTTCCAGACCAAGATGATTGAATAGTATTGTTATTTTAGTATATTTCCATAAAGCAAGGTGTAATTTACCACAAACTGTCAGTCCTACAGTTACAATTATCTAAGTACAACATTTAAATTACAGTTTGTACATTCTCTATACATATCAATAAGAAACTAATTTTATTTGTCATATTTTGAAAAAAAGAGAACTAAAATCAATATTAACAGATAAAATTAAAATTTTTAAATGTTGCAAAATAGCAGAAGCAACCCCAAATCTATAACTACACATGATAAGATTGGTTAAAAAAACTAAGAAACGAGTGAAAGAAATCACAGCAAACATGTCAGACTATAAATGCATAAATCATTTCCATGCAGAATAAATCTAAATGCACAAGTTAGGTAAAAAACGCACTCTTACCAGTATCTATAACTAGAGGTTCGGTGACATTTTTAATATCTTTCAAATCCACTGGAAAACCATTTTCTGTAAAAATTATATTTCACCAAAACTCTAAAAATAGCACACTTTAAAAACAAACTGAAATTTCAAAATCGTTCACAATAATGATAATCCAATGAATACAGCAGAAAGTCTAATCCACTTAATTAAATTAAATACACATTCCACGGGAGCTGAGAAACGTTAAAGTTCTACCACTCAGTCACAACACTACCTTACATGATTTATTAGGACACACTTCAGTTCCTGTTTGACAACACAGGTAAAGCCAGAAACATAGGTTAAAGGGCATAGGGCCATGCCAGGTAAAGAAATAAACTGTACATGCTTAATAACTTATTAATAAATAAATTGTATAAACAGTTGTCATATTCATTAATAGTTTACACTCGTAAGACAGGTCGATATTTATGGATTTGCTGGTGTTTATTCTGTTTGGTATTAAGACATACCACATGCTAAGCAGGCATGCAGTATTAAGGTATAGATGAATGATAAAGTCATGACCCTCTGGTAAAAAATTACACCTTATAATAAAGGTAACATACGTTGTAAAACATTTGTTTTTAAAAAGACTTTAAAGTTTGATTCAAAAGCAAAATAAAGAATTCTCAATACTATATTTACTACATTTGACAGGCCTTAAAGAACTTCAGCTTGATACAAATATCTAAGCACAAAGTATAAAGACTAAACTTTACTTTGACAAATTGCATAGATTATCAATAATGTATTTTTAAAGCCCAGATAACCTTACCTGACAAAACCTTTTTACTATTTGCAGGAGAAAGCTTTTCAAATCAATTTTACTACCAGCATAGACCTCTTAAAAGTGCATTGAAATTTTTGTTTTGTGGTGTTGACAATATTCATTATAGGCAAATGTATCTTTTCCCATTTGTGAACTTATTACTAAAGAGAACTTTTTGTTGCAATATTATGTCACAGAGATATAATGGCAATTCATTTATTGTCAATCATCTCTCTTTTATAACTTATTAATACCAGAAAAAAACCTGTGTGATCAAGTGCAAACTAAATGATAACTTATAACAATAAATGTCTCAGAATTGTCAAAATATACGATCTTATTTACTATGAAATGCCCCTCCCACGTATGCTGTTTGAATTCAAATTAAAATTATCGGACACAAATTCTCTTGCTTTTTTATCTTTCATGAAGTTCTATTTCAAGAGTCTTATATTATGCTATTTAATATTTTATCTTATATACTTTTAAACAATAAAATTAAGCCTACATGCTGATAATCAGAGAATTATAAAACTGAAAATTGTGAACAATAAAAAAGATTGATTTTTTTTCTTTTTTGTTACACTGTTGACATCACCTTTCCAAAATCCCACTCATGTTACATTATTTTAAACTGAAAAATTCTTTAGTTGACCTTTTATTTACCAATAAAAAAGGTTGATACTGAAAATTGAACTGAAAGCACCATTTAGTCCAATCAACTGAAGAAGAAATAATTATTTATCAGATGAGGACCATCCCAAACTAGGACACATATACATTCCCTATTTATCCTGAGATGTAACATGATGTCAATTTCTACCAAATCAAGCCATGTATCTTTCTAGATCAAGTGCTATCAGATAGCAATTTACCCCTGTAGTAGTGTTTTATTACAATTGTAGGTGTCTTGTTTGTATGTTTATATCACTTGATCTTTCATGGAAGTCTTTACCTTAAAAGGTGAGAATTTGTTTGACCACAACAGCATTCCTAACATATATTTGGCTACTAAATAGTTGTGGTGATGTGGTCTTATTTTTTTAATCTATTATGATTGATGATTACATATGGGAAATTCTTATTTTTGTTTTTTAATAAAACTGCATGTAACTATGCTCTCTGGGTGAGAATGCACTATTTTTTATTCTTGTATGCCAGACATGTAATAATGAGCCATATAACTATGCTACAAAATCAAGGGACAGGAACTCCATGAAAGTAAATTTTTATGGTTTTCAAAACATTTTGTGTGATGGCGCCACCTCACTGACCTAAAGCTTATATACTTAAACTATTATCACACTGATGTAATTTATACATTTGCAGTAAAAATTACAATTGTGATGTGTGTGTTTATGTAGTCTGTTTATTAGTATCAATTTTAAATAATACTTTGATAGACCAAAACAGATCTATCCCCTCTCCAAGATGTTAAATCAATAAATAACTTTATTCAACCAAAGGAAAAATTGGACCACCATCTTTGCTCTAATTCACCTAGGTGAAAATATAATCTGTTTAACCTAAAGGTATGCCTTACATGAATATTTGTATTCTCACTATTGTTTCCTTACTAACTCAAACAATAACATTTACAAAGATTATTTTCAAGTACTTTGTTAAGTAAAGACATAGTACAACTATGTACTACTTCAGGTAACAGATACTAAGAAATTGTAAAAGGTACTTATCTGTGATATTATGTACTTAATTAGAAGGTAACATTATTTCATTTTAATTTAAAATCATTTCAGACATTAATATGTCACCTTATAGGAAAATCATCTTTAAATGTCTGAAGAACCCTCATAAAAAATCAGTAAACTTCTAAATAAATACAAGATTGACTATAAATTTGTAATTCAAGTCCACATGTTAACTTCTCTATGCTTACATAATATTAGGCACCCGGATACATACACAGGAAATGCATTGATAAAGATGACAGCCCCAGGGTAGTGAAAATGCTGTTAATGTAATACATCCACTACTTAAAAATGTAGTTATGAGAAAAACATACAATGAAACATTATCTGTCATTCGATTAAAATTTCTCTCTTTTCTATTCAAAATTTTAGTTATGAACTTAAACTTTTGACACTTAAATGAAGACTATCTTATTTTCACACCGCTACTTGTGAAAGTATAGGGTATGTTTGTTCCTACTCTGCATTAATTTCTGTTGAATCTTTCCACCTACATTTCATTAGGGTTTAGCTATAAGGTACTTTTAAGTTGAAAATAGGTGTGAACTCAACATGGAATTTCATAGGTCTGCAAATTGGCAAAAAATAGCATAAGGACCTAAGAGCTACGGTTCAGCAGCTACCACAGTTATAGATTTTCAGTTCATAATTTTGTTGTTATATTTTCATTATTGAATTGCCATTGGCCTTCCGTTTATCCCATGTGTAAGATGAAATTGATATGTCCATATTTTCCCATGTGACACCATTATTACATGTTTAATACTGCAACGTACTATTATTTCTGGTTATTGATATCACTACAGAACATGGTGTAAGAATAAGAATTCTAAAAGGTCATGATTTATAATATAATTGTCATATTGACTTTTGTTATATTTTGTATTATTTGAATCCAAGGTCAAAGGTATTGACTTTTGTTATGTTAAGTACTATTAGTACTTGATACCAAGAACCAGGAAATAAATGCTCTGCTCCTGAAGTATATTCAACAATGTACTTGGAATCTTATATGGATAGAATATACAATGTATTAAGAGTCCAATAATATAAAAAGAGAACTTTATGTATACTGTCATCAGAGCAAACATAAAATGTCCCTACTTTCAACACAATAGATTTTTTTAAATATGATGCCAAAATTTAAAAGTCTTTTTTTTAACTATGATTTAAATAAAATGTGTAAAATGCTGTCTGTGTTTCTGAAAACTATCTGGCAATTTTATGCCAATTCATTCAATTTTTAGCATGTTTTGCTATGGGAAACCCCCAAAATCATAATATAAAGTGTTCAATGCTAACAATTACTTAAGAAATTAGGTTAAAGCATTAAGAATAGGGAGACTTATAAACATCAGCAAATTCTAAATAGCAACCTGTCTCATATACTCTGTTTTATGTCTGTGATGAATTTATCTGTGTGCATTTATATATAAACTGATACAAAAGGGAAATTGATGATAAGCAGAAGGTATATCAATAACAATGGGTACATGCAAAACTGCATCCTTAAAATAACTTAAAGATATCCTTTAATACTAACCTCTACCTTTCCTTAATAATGTAACGAAAGGGCTCTGAGTTGGTGGCAGTCTACTGGGTTCATCATCAAACTGGCCATTAGAAAAGGTATAGTCTACAAATTCTGTTTTGGGCTGATAGGGAGTCCGTTCTGTCCTAGAGGGCTCGGCAGGTGCTGTCTCTGAAGTACTAGTGTGAGGAGTATAGGAAACGAAAGATTTATATTCATGTAGCTCCTCTTTCTCTGGTTGTTGACAGGAGTAACTGTCCTCAGGGGGAGGGGGAATTATGTTGAGTTCCTCTTGCTGAAAATAAAATATTACATCTCATCATGAATTACACAAATTGCGCTATTCTAGGAGGCACTGTTTAGGGACACAAAATGCTATAACTCACGCATAAAGGTAAACATTTTCCCAGTGTCTTGCATTAAAACTATCATAATTTCCATGCATAGTTTGAAACTGCATTATAAGCACAACATGAAATTATAAGTATTGTGTTTAATTCTTAGGCGCATAAGTTTTCAATTTTGTCTTTTTTAATCACTTGGCTTTAATTTTTTCATCTGACTTTGGAAAGGATAGTACTTCTTACAATACTTAGTTAAAATATCTTATTCTTGGACTTGTGTAATACTTAATTGTAATGAGTAAATGCTTATTAAATCAAGAATAATACATATTGTATGAATATAACTTAGTCTTTTATAATGCAAGAAAAATTACATATCTACCACTTTAATAACCATGACAAATCAAAAACCACTGTATCCCTTAGCCTTTTAACTTATTACTTTTAAAGAATAGAATGACTTTTAGTGAAATATTATACCAGTAGTTCTCTTTTTTTTCATTACAAATTTCATTTTCGTTTTATTGTAAAAACCACCAACCAATTCCATCTGTCATAAAAATCTTTCATAAAATATTAAATTTCTTCACAAAGAAACTAAACAGTCTAACAAACTTTTGATTTGAAATGCTCTTTTTGTTAACTTCAGGGCAAAACTGTTGAAGCAATTTTCAGTATTAAGTGACAGTTTTAATGGATAAATGGACATCAAGAACTTTCATATTTCCGAGAAAATATCTTTCTTCATTTCTTAATGAAGGAAACTACAATAGGAAACCATAAATAGGCCAGAAGCTATTTACTGATTCTGTACAAATATTCTATATTAGATTGTGGATCAAGAATTGAATTAGTAACCTCGTTTGTTTGATGCAGACCAGATCACTTTATTCACTTTTTCAATTATCAATAATCCGGTAGTAACTGAATGTTTTATCGTCAATATACAATATGCTTTAATATATATCAGCAATTTATGTAAGCGTGTTTTGAATGATTCATTTATATCAGAAAACATATAATAATGCTATCATAGAAGGATCTTTTTGTAATAAATTTTGTTTCTCTCTATTTACATTGAAAAACCTTTTATAGATTTTTATTCAAAAAAATTTTGTAGTAAGAGCAGAGTTTATAACATAAAGTGGAGAATTACACATTGTATGTTTCTGAAAGACTAAAAATAAGCCGGCAGATGCTGAATGATATAATAGATACATTTAATAAGAATCCACTGTACCATACATGGATCAATACAGTATACAATAAACTACAGAAATGTAAATACAAGGCCTTGAACTCTATTAGTACAAGGCTTAATCCTAGTAAATAATCAGTACGGATTACATTCATAGGGAGATTGTAGTACAGAAGTCATGTAACTGTTATCTGTGAGTGAACTTGACCAATATTTCATAAATCTTAATGTTGTTCAAGAAATAAGCCACATAAGATTTTAGTCTGTTTACCAATACTACAGTTAAAGTTGTGTTCCTAGGCTTTTGTTTACATAAAAAAAACTTCTGCCAGAAAATCAATTCTACTGATTTTTCCACTTAAAACGGCTAATTACTGAAAGATAATGGCTATCCTATTCAAATTCATTTTGACCTGTATTTTCATGGCTGACAATTTTTGTGCCAAAATAAAAACGAACATTTGTGATAGCAAACCCTATCATCTTTAAACCATTTGTTAAAGAAACAAATATGCTAAAAGCAGCAACACTATGCTCTTCTAAATTTACATGGTTGAGCTTAATAAAATACAGGCTGGACAATGGAGAGACAAATGTCGTAGATGCGTCTGGTTCAAAATCACTAGAAAAACCAAGGACTCCATCTCAAACAAAAAGAACAATGATCCAAATGCAGTCCTATATCCTGAAAGCTTCTTTGAAGGTTTTTTTTGGTTTAGTTCAAGCATACATTGCTTTATCGGATTGTGTATTTTCTCCTTTTGTCTTTTGTGTACCTTTTTATCATTCTATACCAGATAAAATAAACTGGTACCCAGAAATAAGCATACCTTCTGATTTTCCACATGTTGTTTCTGGATTTCCATTGAAGTTTTTCTCAGTGTATCTAACTTGATAGGTTTATATTCCTTCTTCTGAAATATTGCACCCTTTTTGGGGTTCCATACGGGGGCAACATTAGATATCACAGGTTTGCTTTCTGTATGAACTACTGTTCTCTGTGGACTTGCAGGTTTATAATGAGATTCTATATCTGTAAAAAATTTTGTAAACTTATTGATGTGGCCTCAAATTTTTGTTAAACTGTATCTTTCATTTTTCGATTATGTCGTTTTTGGAACCAAATGTCTTTCAGACATGTTTAAGTATTAAAAACTTCATTTGCTGTATTTGGAACCTAATGTCTTGAAGAGTCCAACCATTTTTAAGTATCAAAAAGGTCTAGTCTCTTCAAAATCTTCCATTCAAACAGCTAGTTCTCCTCAACTGCTATAATTTATTGGCTAAAGCAATATAATTCATTTGCACAAGCCTTTTGTGAAACAGTACCAATTTCATTTATTTACTGACAGAAAACTTAAAAACTGGACCAGTACCAGATTAACAGAAAGATAACATTAAACAATCCCAGTTATGTATGATATAACTCGTCTTTAATGCATTTTACAGTTTGACTAAACATTTGCAAAAATCTTTAGAATAAATGAGACTGTCCTTACTAAATTTTCTTTTGTCAATTTTTTTTGTAAACGGGATGAAAATCAATAACTTCACAACTTTGCTATTGAAAAAAAAATAAAACAACACTATTTGCAGTTTTATCAATATAATGTAACACCTGACACATCATACTAGCAATGTTGTTACCTGGTATTCTTTGTTTTCAATAAATCCATTTAATGCAAGTTCAATTACCTTCAAATCACCAAAACTCCTCAGAATCAATTACTCCAATCACAAAATATAATTTCTACAACATCCGATTATTTTGACATTTAAAACCACATAGTTCTGTCCCAGGATCTATCTTTCCAACACCACACATACAGCTATGGACTTAATTGATCGCAACAAAAATTGATTGATGAAGTTTATATGACAGAAATCAATCCATCATCATTCAGATTCTTTTTGGTATTAAGCACTATCTTGTGATGCTTCACATTTTTTACATAATATCTTGGATAAGAAAGACCTAATTTCATTTTACCAGGGCGAGCATTATTTAACTTATTTAACTAATAGGAATAATGATAGTGCAGATACGATTGGTGAATTTAATCACAATTCTTCCTCTTACAATAGCAAGCACTAATCCTTTGTGTTCTTTTTAATAGCTCTCTAGAAATGTAATTAGTGTTTCAAGAATAATAGGCAATCTCGGACCATGCAATTTTCTAGATTAGGTGTTGGTCTTATTTGATTTATTATAGAAATATCTTGGATCTTGCTAAAATGGGATACTTGTTTAAGCCCTCATTTGAGTAAAATTATGTTATTAACAAGCAACTTTCAACTAAAAAAACACAAGAATCAAGATTTACATGTTATAGACCATCTTTTTACAGCATGTTCAAGAAAAACAAATTATTGACTTTTTCAGCTATTCCCATTTATTTTCCTTTGCAACGTTTTTTCCAAAAGACTTTTTCAAATTTCTTAAATGTAGAGTCGGTTTTTATCTGAACTAATAAATAATTTTCATTTATATTTTATTACTTTTATGGCTTCCATAGAGTAATGTAGGTTAATAGGCTTCAAATTACTATAAAAAATAATTGTATATTGCATTTATCTTCGTGTCCAGCAATTTATTTTGTTAATACTGAGAAAATAGTAATTGAAATATTTTTTCTGTACCATGTCTATACTTACTTGCAGAGGGACTATATTCTGTTGATATGTGTGTTCCATTCATAGCTGGTGGCACTTCTACAAACAAAATTCGAAAATAATAGTTAAAAAATATTTAATTGCTAAATTTCTACTTATCTATTTTAAGGAGTTAAGCAAAAAGAATAAGTACATAGTCTAAATTACAAGTCATCTTTAACATTAGATAGAATATGACTAACAGTACATAAAACAAAAGTATTTTGTACTTTTGCTTTTTGGCTTACTTGAAACAAATCACATATCTAAATGCATAAGTACAGACTATCTATAGTAAACAATATCTACTAAGATTACATAAGAAATGAACTGCAACAAAAAACTTACATCATAGCCAAGTTAAATCTGATACTCATTCATTAAAATCATTTGTTTGCTATTCTTGGAACAGAAGTACAAGTACACTTGTATAAGCTTCTAGTTATCAGCCATATGTCTCTGACATCTTACTATTTTAATTAAAATCTTGTCTATATAAAAGCACCTGTCTGTATGTTTAATTATATCAGGGTTACATTGGAGTTAAGGTCAGTTATACAATGCACCCTGAATCTGAAATTCAACAACATCTGAGGTTGCCTACACTGTAAATAATCACTAAATACCAATAAGCAAGAAGAGAAAACCAAAATGAGTGAACTTTAAGAAAAGATGAAAGTTGCAGGAATTTATATAACAAATAAAGAGTTGCAGTAATGGTTTGGTTCTAAGGGGTAAAGAAGTAAGATGCTAGGACAAACTAAACCTTGAGAATGAGTAATTCAACAGGTGCTCCATGTGGAACAAGAAATGTGCTAACCTTTCCAGAGCACTTGATCTTCACTATTTTTTACTTTTTTATCTTTGTATTTTGTGATTGTCTTCTTGTTTCTTTTTTTTTTATTTAGCCATGGCTTTGTTTTTCTTACTTCAATTTTTAGTTTTGTGCACAGTGTTTTCTTGTTGGCCTTTAGTACCTTTAACTATCAATACTGTCTTCAGCACAGGTATGGGGTGATTGGAACATGTATTACATATTTATGAAAGCCAAGAAGACAACTTTTCATTAAAGGCCAAAGGAGAAGAAAATATATCTACAATTCACCACATGGCCTTCACACATTATTTTTTATCATCCAAACAAGCTCCATACAGATATTTTCTGCACATCCATAAATCATCAAAAGTTCCAAGGTAACCTGAATACTTGCTTGTTAAAGTTTTTTGAGTGCATGGGCATGGTGAAAAGATATTACCTATATCAATATACATATACTGATTGATGAAGGTTGCAATACTAAATGCTTCAACACCCCAAGGAATACATTCTTAGAATGTCTGCACCAAGACAGAGGGAAGTACAAGATGATTCAGTGCATATTCTAATGTGCCTTTGTTCCCTCAAGAATAATTATCACCCAGGTTCTATGCGAAGTGATTAAAAGATGCATCTAAAGCATAAGATAGTGTAAAGAAATTACAATGAAAAGACAACTAAGTGATAATATTTACACCAATCTTTAATTCTTTTTTATTGAACTTTTTTCCCCTGTGCATTTTTTTCTCTTTTTACTTTGCTGTTTTTAGTACATATGATTTAAGTTTCTGATACACAACAGTCAACTTAGCAAAAATTACAAAAACTTTGTTTAAAAAGAAGTAATCTGAATCAAACAATATTTTGTATGTGTGCTTCAATGCATAGATGTTGTGTCAATAACATTGTTCAAAGAATTCCACATAAACCGACACTAAACTTGAACTGAGGTATGAACTTTTGCTCTATTTTGAAGATCTTCATTTGCTTTCAGATGATGAACAGCAATTATTGCATTGGTTCTTTACTCTTTTCTCTGGGTTTTGTATGTAGAAATCTTGTACAATCTAATTAAAATTAAATACTTTAATTGCTCCCGTTCTGATATGTCTCGCATTGATGTGCGACATATCAGAACAGGAGCAATTAAAAGATTTAATTTTAATTAGATTGAAATCTTGTGTTATGATTTAATATTATATTCTTTCTTCGCCAATATATAAAGCCTTTAACAACACCTGAAAGTAATAGTTTTATAAAGAGTATTGGTGCATCTCTTTTGTGAACAGTTGAAACCATGAAAGATCTCATTATGAACATGGGAGTCAAGTGAAAGCTTAATATCCATAGATAAATTTGAAATGTTCCTTAATTTGATAATTTACATAACCATATAATTTGTCAGCATTGAGCTAACTTTATTTATACAGCACAAATTCCTTCCAAAAGAATGTTTTTACATCTCTCATTTTTCAGGATTTTAATATTAAATATATGCTGTTTTTTTACAGGAGTGTTTATAAAGGATTTAATTTTCTTTTTGAAAAGAATTGAAAACATGACGAATGTTTGAAAATTTTGAGCCAAAAATAATGGACAGAAGTTTTACTCCTTTTAATCCAAAACATCACAATGACAGAATTCCAATGATCTCCCCTCTATGATCTATAATTTGCAAAGGAAAAAAAACTACTATTTTTTTTCTTTTGTATTTCTATCAATACTGCAGTATACCCCTTCATCAGCCTTGTTTATAATACTGCATATATATACATGATTGACACATACTGTGGTTTCATTATATTTAGTGGGATATTAGTTTTCGTGGTTTTCGTGGTTGAAGGTGAACCACAAATTTAAGGATGTTTGCTACTCTGTTTCAAAATAACAAGCTTTTTAAAAAACTGTTCTAAAATGATAGTATATAAATAAAGGAACTAAAAAAGCAGAAAAAAATGAAGGGCCATTGTGCTTGATTTCAAGATATAAGCCATCGAAAATTTGGCGGGAAATGATTCTCTCTAGATTTTTCATACTTTTAACATTGGCCGCTTTTTTGTTTCAAAAACTATGAAAAAATTACAAGGATTTTATAAAATTTTCAAATATGGCTTTTTATACCATATGTAATAAAATTATGAAAAGAAAAGTAGGGGTTAGCGCGCAGAATTTTTTAATGGCAATACATGGATAAAACCAGAGGGTTCTGAAAATCTGGCAAAAATTCAAAAACAAGAGGAGCAAACATCCTTAAATGTTCTAAGTATTTCAAATTTTTTTAAGACTTGTATGCAGACCATGGCAGAACCAAAAAATCAAATATCCACAAAAATACAATTTCCCATGAACCACGAAAATTGGTACCTACAAATATAAACCAATCAACAGTACATTTTTTTTTTTAAAGTTTAACACCAGAACAGAACTTAGCAAAGTTAATCAATAAAGAAGTTTGTCTGATCAATACATAAAATAAAGAGAAGTATCAGAAATATAATTTAAACAAATACAGTTAATCAATCAAAGTATGTTTTTTCTTTAACTTACCATGACTAGGTCTTTCATCTTCATTCTTTTGGCCAACTGTTAACCATGAAATTCAAGGAAAAAAAATCACTTTAGTATTTTGCAACTATAAAGTTCCTCTTACATAGTTAATAAGACACAACAGATTCAACTGGATAAGCTTAAGTCAGTTTACATAAAAAACATTTTGGTTTCTATTTTGAGTAATTAAATAAAGATAACATAACCTTTGATTTGGGAAATTTATCCAACATAAAACATGCTCTGATTAGCTTAGAAATCAATAAATCTTTCAAGAGATTGAAATTATCCCCTTTTTCTAGTAACTGCAACATGTGTGTGCATCTGTTGCCACATTATCTAACTTCCCTGGGTCATTACAATTTTCCAGGTGGTCTTATAAGTAACATGTTGTATATCTATTTATCTCCCTTGTATTGGACAAGATCATGAGTTTTCTCCCTTGTCAATAATTTTGTCAAGTTTGAATCTATATTCAAATATTTCTTACAAAATGGTCCTAGTCCATTTATGTACAACACACACTTAATTTTATCACACATACTGAAATAAAATTACTGAAACTGTAAGGTTTAAAGAACAGAAAAGAGCCAAAGGTTCAATCAACTCACTCCAAAACTTCTTCATTTCATTTCAATTCACTATTCCTCATTTAAACAAAGAAAATTAAGTGTTTTCTCAATTAAAGCATGTACAAACTAAACAACTTTCATACTACGAAGGGACTTTTATCTAAACAATGTTAATTTGCTATCATCTGTGCATTGTTGCTGGAATTTGTCTCTGGAAAGATAAGATAAATGCTGTTTAAATGTATCTAGGGGTCATTTCTTTGACCTTTTACTGTCTTACGTATCTTTTTCATAGATTAATTACTTGCTAATATGGACCCATGATTAAAATCAGATAGGATGTACGTCAGAGTGACTGCTTCATCTGTAATGATGATTTCAGATCCCACTATAATATAGTAAAGGAATCCATATGGTTCAGGTTTTTCAAAATTCACATGTCTTTTCATCATTATATCAATTACTAAAAGGTATTAAGATATCAAATAAAATACTCTGCCTTTGCTTTGTTTTTCATTGGGACAAAGAATACAAATAAAGAGATGTTTTGTGATAGCAAGTAAGACATCACAGTTAATATACATCCAGATGAAACGGCCATCAACAATGGGCAATAACCCATACTTTTACGGTATTAGGTATAAAAGGTCCCTATTAAACCAAACATAATCAAGAAGCTGTCAAAATGGCAGCAAACCATGTGGTCTCACATTTATAAGTTTCATTTTTGAATGAGAAACAACATATAGATATTTGATTGAAAAGGATTGGATAAAGTGTTCTAAGGTTATTAAACTGATTCTACATAAAACTCCATTGTCTAATCAATCAAGGACCATAACTCCTGAACAGCAAAAGTTCAGAATCAATCTTGATCTCTATTTCATCATGAGAAACAACACATTAAAATTTGAAAAGTATTGGTTGAAGAGTTCTTTAGTTATTGCATGTAAACAGTCAGAGCTGCCAGAAAGCCTGTCCAAAAGCTGTTTTACCCATATCAATATAGAGATTTCCATGGGAAAATCCATGTAAAAATTAAAAAGAACAACCAAGACCCTTTTGTGGCAATATGATAAAACAAAAACAAAAATCACATTAAGACTAAGTGTCAGATCTTTGAAAATCTTGAATTGTTAAAATAACCCAAAACTTTTCTTGACTATTTATAGCTGACTATGCAGTATGGGTTTTGCTCATTGTTGAAGACTGGACAGTCATTTAGTCTCTGGTGGAGAGTTGTCTCATTGGCAATCATACCACATCTTATTTTTATAGTATTGATGTATTGTATAGATATTTAGCCAATACTCTTTTGTTGAAGATGTTGTTGGTCTTTTCTGTTGTGGGGTTGCTGTTTTATTGATGTATACCCCCACATCTCATTTCATTCATCTTTAAAGTATATCTTCCAAAAAATCATTTGCAATAGATATAATAACCTGAACAGAGGCTTTTACCTCATTACACTTCAAGGGCCTTATTCATGATATATTCCTACCAAATGTCTGTGTATCGTTTCTGCTATTATGATTCATTACAAAGTTATGTGAAATGATTTTCAGGTAATTTACTACAAAGCTAATGACCATTAAAGAGGAATACACAATTAATTATAATCATATTGACGTAGTCAGCATGCATGCACATGCTGCAGGTCTGGTATCGCTATGTGTTTCATTTTGTCAACACTTACACTTGTAAACAATGTGTGGTTTATGGATCTTAGTGTAAAAACTGATGAATTTAATTGTCATAAATCGAGGATTGCTTTTAACCTTTTCAATTTTTTTCATAGAATGCTACCAAGAAAAAAAAATGATAACCATAACCAATTAAAAAGGGTGACTTTTGGGGATGGATGTTTGCTTAATGTCCAGTAACAAATATGTGAACTTTCAACACATTTTGTATTAAGGTTTTAACATCTGCTTTCACTGGCTTCCAGACATAAGAAAAGAGTTGAAACTTTATTCTTTCTGTTTTATTTGTACCTACAGAATTTGGTAGCTTTTACGTCTGAATCACCAGATTTCCTATTGAAAGGGAGATTATCCAAATATGACAAATACTGTGCTAAGATTTGGCCTAGTTTGTGCAAACCATTCACTGAATCATTAATCTGACACAAGCCACCAATTTCACACCAATTTGCAATGGATAATTATATTAAAAGCTCTAGTGCACATCCATGTGTGTTTATCTGACTATTAACCCTACCCTGAGGTCTAAATATATAATTGCTCTCACGTCTAAGTAATACATAGCATTACCAATCACAAATTAATACTCTATAAAAAAAATATAAAAGCTATGTTTCAGCATGTCAGTGTTGAATACCATCAAGGTTTCTATAGACCCAAACAATATGTCTAAAAAAAATTAGTTCAAGTGACTACTACAGTTTAAAATTTGTGTTTCAAAACTAATCGGTGTATGATTTTCATCACACTAAATTTTTCTATGGGATAAAAAAAGATGAACATTCAATACAAAAAGAAAATGAGGATTTCTACTAACTTGGAATTTACATGCTTCTAATGTACTACTGGGGAAAACACAAAAACAAAATATGGTAACTTAAAAACATGCAAAATGTCTATCACTACATCTTAAGAAGAACTGAAAAAACTTTATATTCTAAGTTATCATTAATTTACTAACAGTACTTCTATTAAATGGAAGAATTAATACAAGCATTAATTGAACTGCTACAATACTAAATACAAAAATGTACTTAATTTGTTAATATAACATATCTTAAGATACTGCTGAAACTATAAAGACATTTTACACTATATCAAATATTTGACACATGCTTAAAATATTGATCAGTTTAAAATATATGTACACTCCAAATCTGTAGTTAGTATTACAATCCAGGTATTCATCATTCTCATGCTGTTACCGTGGGGGGACGTGCTTAAACTCTGACATATACAATACCTCTGTGGTCAACATCTGGTTGTTGTCGACTTTCTTCGTGCACCACTTTAATTGGAATATATCTTCCTCTGTTTGGAGAGGAGGAGGATGAGTCGAGAGATCCTTGTCTTCGAACCGCAGATGGTGAAGATTTAGGAGTCCATTTTGTATAGTTTGGTCTCTCCTGTTGTGAAGGTGACACATATTTAGAAGGAGACTGTACAGTTTCTGAATGTCTCCGCGGTAAGTTTGAGTCCACTTGTTGAGGGGGATTATATTGTGGGTGTGCTTGTGGCTGTGGAGGCCATTGTCTGAATCTATTCAGATCTGGTTGTGAATCCAAAGACGAAAGATCAACCTCACTCACGAATCCCCTCTGATCATAAAGTTTAGCTTTTTGTGGAAGTTTGACAGAATCTAAATCCATGTCATGTATATAGTCCCTCTGATTATATTGCCTACTTTGTGAATAGTCTGGATTATTTCGGTGATTATTTCTGACACAAAAATCCACATCAGTAGAATATCCATCCTGCGGAACAACAACAGGTTTTCTCTGTGAGCGGACTCGTATGTCTCCTCTCCCCCTCCCAATATAATCAACATCTGTATTATATCCATCCTGTGGAACAACTATAGGTTTTCTCTGTGAGCTGACACGTATGTCACCTCTCCCCCTCCCATTATAATCCACATCGGTATTATATCCGTCATGTGGAACAACTATAGGTTTTCTTTGTGAACGGACTCGTATATCACCTCTGCCCCTCCCGTCATAATTCATATCACTTTCATAGCCCCTCTGTGTCTTCAGAGGTTTGATAGTTGGCAAAGTTGTACATTTACTATAATCAAAATCCTCATTTTGTTTGTCAGTAACTTTTTCACTAGATGACTTTCGAACTGGGAGTGTATAATAAGAACCGGGACTAAAATTTCCATCTTTAAAACTACCACTCTGCCATGAAGATCCACGACTCGTTATTCCTGAATCCCGAGATCTTGTTTCCTCTTGAGGAAAATTTCTCGAATCAGGAGCAGACGTCTGAATTGTCAAAGGAATCATCCTTTCCCTTTTAACACTAATCGGTATTATCTGTTCTTCAACAGCGACTTCCTCTTTCATGATGGGTAGCTGATGATCTTCCTGTGCCAGGGAGTGAGCTGTCAACGTACTGCTGGTGCTGTCTGACACACCTTTGTCTGGTCGAAAAAGTTAATGAGAATGTAAGAAACAGAGGCAACTCAAACAATGTGTGATGCAGAGAATGTGCAAATTAATACTGTACACTGTAAAGTAGTTAAGAGAATTAATGTTCGAACACAAATCTATAATTAGAAATTTTAAGTAGACTTAGCTATTTCTGTAGATGAAAAATATAATTGGAATTTCAGCACAAGCCTTAATGCTGAGAAAATTGTTCTTAGAAGTGCCAAAGATCATATAATTCTCAACACTTCAATTAGAAAGTCTTTTTGTTTAGAATACCTATTCAAATTTATGAATGTTTCATTGAAGTATTAAAAGACAATGACCAACAAGAAACTTGATAAAGAAGAAGGATTTCCTTTGGAAGATAAGATCTGATAGTAATCAATGTAATTATGGGATGGATTTTTTAAATGTATTTTAGATTTAATTTTAAGTAAAATATAAGAAGAGGTTATCAAGACCACTTTATATCTTATCATTCCAATCTGAACTTCATTTTGAGGATACTGCTAAGTTACAGGCACAGGAAATGACTTATTTATGATGCTCAGATTGTGTCTTATAAAAAATTAGGATCAAAAAGCATGAACAAAGAATGGACAACTGCTACTGGACAAGGGAGGAAACTTGTACTTAAAGGTCTAATTTATGGAAAATCAGTAACATAAAAGTCAGAAATGTTCTATCAAAATGTAGCATAGAAACTGTTATAAATTTCAGATTTATGTTTTTTATATTTCATATGGTGATAAGTTACAATTTCATCATAAAATTGAGAATGGAGATGGGAATATGTCAAAGAGACAACAACCAGACCAAAGAACAGACAACAGCCGAAGGCCACCAATGGGTCTTCAACGCAGCGAGAAAAATCCAGAGGTGGTCCTCAGCTGGCCCCTAAATAAAATTGTGTACTAGTTCAGTGAAAATGGAAAATGGAAAATCAAAATATATTCATAAATGAATTTTAAAATTTTCAATATTTTTTTTTTAACTAGAATTATACTTGTAGGTCAATCACCGAAAACTGATAGCAATACCATGTCATCAGATGCATTTTGATAGAAATATTCTTATGACAAACACATGTACAAGTGTAAAAAAAATAAAATCTTCATCCAACATTTTTACTGTAGCTAAAATAAAAGAAAGTGAATCTGCAAAATTCTATAGTAAAATGCACTAAAAATCTACCAATGGTCAAAGGTTCAAATGTCAAAATCAACTGAAATGCACAAAATGAAAACAGCAAAATCTCATGCTACCAAAATCTTTCCAAAGACATTTCAAACTGGATCATGCAAAGCATGACAGCTACCTTCATCATCTGAATATCTAGACAACTTTTCCATCTGCCGTAAAAACATTTGCATGCCTTTAGAAGAATGATCTGATGTAGCTGGTGAAATGCTTCTACTGGGAGAACCTAGGCTCCTATTAGGTGATACTAAGCTTCTAGCTGAAGAACCTAGGCTGGAGCTGTGTTCAAATATTTGGCGCCGTGACCTGCCAGTTGTCATAGGTTTAGGCAAAGGCTTGGGTGGCTGACGACGTCTAATGGCAGGCGAGGTTTGTGGAGTCGACTTAGCTGAATCACTAGTATAGCATGATGTAGTTGACCATAAGCTTGGCGATGGAGATGACCGATCCCATGCTGCATCTAAATTTGTGAGAAAACTACTGAACAAATCATGTAAGCTGACAACATATAAAGCATTAGCTTTGTAATAGAAATTACAAGGTTTCAATTGCAGTTAATAAAAAATCTACTTTTTCGTATAAATGCACCAGAAGTGTATTTGCTCCATAAAAATAATTAGTTCCTTACAATACCTGTACTATGTACCAATTAACAATTAGTTTTGCTTAAGTAATGGAATAAATAAACAGTCAAATATATACCTTATCACTAATATTACAATCACTTCAAGAGAAACTAACAAATAGACTGAACTTAACTTCATACAAAATATTGGAATGACATAAATAGCATTATTCACTGTTTAATCATTTTAAACATAAATAAGATTATAAAATTCATTTTTCACATTTTCTCTTGTCTAAACTGAACAATTCAAATGTTGTTTTTTTTTTTGCCTAACGAATTTTCATATCTATTTAGTTTTTTTAATTGTGGAGTTCAATTTTCATAACATGGATTCATTGGTTATCATATTTGCAGGTTGTGTTAATATTAATGGTTCATGGGTTTTTCTTAAATGCAAATTGTGAAAATATATTTATAAAAAGTTTGAGATTTTTGTTATTTTTGCTTTCAAGCATTGCACATAATATTTAACTGAAAATATGCATTTGCTGGATATCAAATTTTGCAGTTTGATAGGCACAAAATCTATGAAAATTGTTCCTCCATCAATAAAAGTCCTTTGACAATAATAAAAAAAAATCAATCAGAACATCAGAACATTTTTAAGATTCTCTTTATTAATTTTTTTTTCCCTGCATAAGAAAGACATACATTTGATTCATTCTAAAATGGTACAAAATATACATATGAAACAGTGAAATAGAAAGATGGACAAATGTTAAGACTGTCATATACAGAACACAACTTCCATGCGATGAGTATTTAAATGCAATCACCAACATTTTCCTGGAATTCAAGGATCCATCTGGTTGACTTCCTATCTCCATCATAACTCTAACAGTTGTTATTAGGGTGAATTTTTTTTTGGTTAATAGTGAAACTATTCAGACTATCAAAAATTGTGAAAGCACTTAACTTATTTTAGAACATTTAATAACATACAGTATAGATATCATTTTCCATCTGAATAGAGTGTATAAACTGTATACCTATATTTGTACAGAAGAAAATACTTTTTGTACAAATGTGATGCCACATATAAGTATGAATGGCAAGTTGTACTAATTATAACAAAAATTTGGATACCATAGTACTGGTGGTGATGGAGAAAGGAAAATCAAGTCAGTCATGTCATCATTTGTATTGTTATATAATATATACTTATACATACATACATTCTTAAAAGTGTCTGACCTTCTACTCATAATTTAATATTGTTTTAAATATATATGTTTGTATTTAAAAACAAACGTTTGACAAAAAAAAAAAAGTTTTTTGCTGTTAAATTCAAAATTCATTAAGCTTACATTTGAACAAAAAAAACCCAGAAAAATGAAAATATTCTATATATATATCTATCAACAGACTTCAAGTCAAACACTTTGAACAATATCATGATTTTTAATGGTGTAACAAATACAAGAATTTCTTCTGATGATTGGTTTTTATATCCTCTCATATATCTGAATTTAGAGAGACGGCAAATCTTTTCACAAAATATATCTAAGACAACAAATACTTGTAAGTCACGATCATTTCATTAAAACTTATATTATTTTTCATCAAAATATTTTTTGTGAAAGAGCCACAACTTTTTATTTTATAAACAGCTGGATGAGAAACACAGAAAAACATTGAACAAAAAAGAAATTTACTATCTGATCAAATCATGCAGTAAAGCAGTAAAGATTGTGAAATATTTCTAAGCTATTGAAAAATGGTAACTGTCCAAAACAGTTACAGCAATTTACATGATCGTGACTAGCTGTATTAGTCTTGAATTTCTTCTAAGATTTGTTTTCGTCCTGAATATGCATGAAATATTTGCCACTGGACGTTAAGCAACCAACAATCAATCAATCTAAGATTTGTTTGTATTGCATAACTTGTTTGGTTGTCACAGTTCATTTACAGTTAAGTTAAAATTGTGATCAGTAGAAAAGGAATAATTGTCCTTACAGCTATCGTTTTCTTTTTCTATTTCTAAGGTCTTTCACAAGCATAGAACTAGAAACCTAGAAACCACTGGATGAAAGTTGAGTAAAGAAAAGATTTTGATTGCATAATGGGTTCTTGTTCCTGATGTACATAAAACGTCATCTTTCATCATATTCATAAACATATCTTTATAAAAATTTTAAACTAATCATCAGACTGATAAATGTTATAAACGAAGTCATTCTGATATTAGTGAAATAATCTTATAACATGCCACCTTCTGATAAATGAAAATTTAGTTATACCCTATTAATGATAATAGATTCATTCATTCATTTCCAGCATTCAGAAGACAAAAATAATTGCTGTGTTTTAATAAAAGCCAATAATCTTTTTCTTGTAAATTGTATTTATCTAGGATTATCGAAATAATTCTCAAAGTGGCCTGGAGTTTATTAGATAATTCATTTCATTTTTTGTAGAATTTGAAAATAAAATATTTTTACAATGTTAAAGATTGGTCATTATTAAAACACAGTCTACCAATAAAGAATTTTAATTAAAAGTTTAACAACAATGCAAACAGGGCTCAATATTCCAAACACAAGCATGTATTTACCCCTGTGTCGTAATGGTTTCGGTGAGGTTATTGGAACATTAAGTTTAGACTGAAAGCGAGGACTTGAAGGTACAGAATGAGATCCTGAAATTTACAAATTCATCTGTTTCAATTTTTCAAAACAAATTTGAAAAGAAGCAAGCACTTATACACGTCATTAAAACTGAAAAGAATTAAATCATCTGAAAAATGTTGAAAAATGTTGGCAAAATGCCTAAAAGATTAAAAAAAACAAATTTTTCATTCTTAAATCAATTATTCCTAATCATGAATTGAAAACAGAACTGCATTTATTTCAAGAAAAAGTAAAAAACCTGAAAAAGTGCAATTTACCTTGTTGAAAAACAAAAACTCCTTCACTCTAATAGGTGATAATTTTCTGAGATTCTCTTTAGAAAAGAAATATGATATAATCGGATTGAACGAACAAATCAAGCTGTCATTCATAGACCCTTACCACAAGATTGGTAATTTCCTAAAACTAAAAAGTATATGACAAACTCATGTTGTAATCATTAATACCTAGTTACCAGTATTGCAATGCTTTTTACTCATTTCTTCACTTTTCATTTTCTCTTGCTTGGTTAATTACAATAATAGGAGTGTTTTGGTCGATAAAAACATCACAAATCAAGAATAAAACACCAAATTCATCCTCTTTATCTTGATTGTCAGGTGTTTATCTGGTTGCAGAAAACTTTATATTGCCCTTTTTTCCTCGACAATCCTATAACATTTCTATAAATCCTAAAAAATTTACTTTTTTCAGAAAATATTTCGAATTTTCTTCCTTTTTTTACATCAGTACAAAAATAAATACCTATAAAACTGATAAATTATTGACATTAAAATTAAAGAAATGGCACTGAATCCATTAATTTTCTTAGTTATACCGCCTTTTGTACTTTTATCATATTCCTATCTCAGATGCCACATAACAATTTTTGCAAATTAGATTTATCGTTCAGTTAGAAATTATCCTTAAGACATAACAATATCTAATTGCCCAAAATACTAGCACTACAGTATAGCCTACAAATATCTGCTAAAAACACAATTCAAAATTAAGACAACAAAGTTATGACAAATTCTACTCTTATATACCTACATACAAACATGTATTTACCTCTGTAGGGACTAGGGTTCACTTTCACCGATGACGGGGGACGAGATGAAGAACTATTTGTAGTGGTCGATACTGCATGGTAAGATATGGGTTTGTAGTCATCTGCAGTTGTCTTTCCTTGAAAATTCAAAAATAAATGCTTAAATAAAGGCACAAATAAAGGAAAAAAAACCAACAAATTTATCATTATTATCATGCTTATATTTAGATGATCAGTATTCATTGACATTGTCATCTCATCTAGAAATAATGTGACTAATACTTTCCAATTTTGAACTTTGAATTACATAAACATTAAACTACCACTTATCTTTAAAATAGCTAACTAGTATTTGAATGAAAATTTATCTCTAATCATTCTAAATATGAAAAGAAAGTAAAAATTTTAGTTTTACAGGGTTCAAACAAAGTCCAAAACAGACACACACACATAGAAAGACATAAATTATTGACACAGAGAAATGTCTCATCTGTTCTGCAGGTAAAACAAAGGCTGGAAAGAAATAGACTGTAACATCTCAGGACTAACTTAACAATATACCAAACACCACTGACCAATCAAAAGTAATTCTATCAATCAGAGCTTATAAAACTGAAACTATTGATGGAAACATTCCATAATCACTACTAGCTGTATACAGTAAAATACAGGTTCGCTTGCTTGCATGTGGTTTGGTGGGTTAACACCAAACTTATAAATTCTTATTTAAAATTCAATGGAACAGTTGTAATGAAATCATTTTCAACTGGGCATGTTGATATAGAGAACAAGTTTCTTTTTAGTTTTACCTTATCAGAATTGAGATGGACAATAAAGGCATCCATACCAAAATATCAGTACTTATGGATCCTTTCCAGAGCATTCTTGCAAAATATTTGATTCAGTGGCCACAATAAGAAAGATTAGAATGTTCCTACTAAAGTCATAGAATGAATAAAACAGTCTTAATAGAACTTATGTCAATTCAATATCAAACTAGATATTATTGACGTATCAAGTCCTGCTGAACTCATGTAATCACAGAACTAAACCATTGTTGATACTATTGCCTATGTCAAATAGCAATACCTATGTCTCTCACCTTCCTCATTTTGTCACAGACTAACAAAAAATATTATTTACATATAGGAAAAAAGACAACATTGATGCATATTTGTTTCTGTTTCTCAATATCACACATGATAATGTAACATATTCTCAATATCACACATGATAATGTAACATATTCTCAATATCACACATGATAATGTAACACTGAAAAGGTGAATGATCAACGAAATAATTTTGATCAATCCAAAAATATGTGTAACAAAGCTGTTCCCAAATACCATCACTCAATCTAAGTTTCCTAATTTCAAACACAAGTGATTTTTAAAGCTTATTCTACTGTGAACCAGAAAGTCCAGATAAAGTGATGCCTGCCATAGAAAGAAATCTTCATATGGGCGGAGAAATATCTAGCTGTGATACCAACTACAAGCTGTAAAAATATGCTTTAGTGAAATAAAATAGTTCTCACAGAATTGGAAATGTAATTCTGGTAATCCACCAAAGCAATATATTTTACAAAATTTCTTCCACTAGATTATGCAGACACATCTGCCATCCCTGCTTAAAATTCTGAAGATGGACATCTCAAATGAAAAAAATTCCCTCTCCTTACCTCTAATAAATACCAAATCCTACATGCCAGCCTTTTTATATTAATATTAGGTTCTGTTATTGGCTGTTGACTTGTTATTTTCAAATTAAACAGGTTAAAGGTCATAATATTATCAAGCATTGTATCCTACTAAAGAAAAGACCTAAAGATTATTGTAGATTTTGTATTCAAGGGTTTACAGATCGGCTCAAATCTAGTTCCCTCTCACAGCTGTAAAATTATCTTCCATAAAAAAAAAGAATCCACCAATATATACAACAAAAAGATAGGGACTGTTTGACATTCAAAAATAAAACCATGATGTATTTGAGTATAAATGAACTTAGTGGGTAGTGTATCAAATAAATACATGTTTAATATGTGTCCAGTGAAGGAGTACAAAACATGTGGATGATAATTTTTAAGCACAACCAAAATATTTATGTACAGAAAATATGAACTCAATTCAGTACTTCTTTACAACCAATTACTACTTATTAATAGAACCCTGGACACAGGATCTGCATTCCAATCAGATTGTTACAGCTTAAAGCAAAGTTTAAACAAAATTTCCTGCAAATTTTCAATCTATTTTAGTTTTATCAAAACAGTTTTCAAATATGCTAGGTACGAGAACCATAATTGTGCAGGTAAATCTTAGGTAAATTCATCTGAATTAAGATGTTGCACCTTAGCAATACTCATATCAACACCTATAAATCCTTTGATTAGCTTTGGATGAAATTCAAACTGAACTGACCAGCTAAAAAGAATTTGGTTAATAAATGCTAATATTATGGCATATACAGTTTTTTAAATTCAATATGACATTTTTTTATATTTTTGATCCTGGATAATTCCAACAGTTAGAATACTACTTTTTTCCCTATTTTTGTTCTTTAAACTGTACAGAAGGACTAAAATGAGATGTATGTTATGAAAACAAGTGCTTTAGCTGTGCAAATATCAAAGTAAAATAGAATATGTTGTAGCATGAAACAAAACTGTATGCATTCAAAAACTCATATTAAATGTTTTAAGATGAAAAGCTTGAAGCCACCCTCAGCAAAGAAATAAAACTGCTAGCAGAGCAAAATTGCATTTAAAAAACACTGGGTTATTTTGTAGTAAGCTTACGCTGAGGCTGAATGTAATGAGGTGTTGCTCGAAATATCCCTGTAGATTGATCGTCAAATATTATAACATATTAATTTGTTTTCAATTAAATTAAAGAACAAAACACTGTTTTTATTAGATTAAAAACTACCAAGTTAGGCGTTAAAAGGGTAGCTAAAGAAAATAAACTGAAAGTTATGGAACAAACATCATCAAAACCTCAAACATTTAAGATCCAAATGTAAGATCTAAGTAAACTTATGATAGTTTGGTCTATGCATTAAACTTGATAGGTTATATGTGAGTTTTCATGGACTTGTTTTTATGAAGTTTCTGTAATTTCACTTTCTAAATAAGGGCTGAAACTTGTTTTAACACTTGTATCTCATATAACCTTTTGAATAAATTGCAAGATCAATGCCAGAAATTAAACTTGTACCGTATATCATGTTTTGAAAACCATGGACTCTATTATACTTTAGTTTTTTCACTATGTGTAATATTTCACAATATATGACTTGTCCATTTAACCTTTGTCAAGAAGGCAGCAACTGATTTACATATTTTCATGTTTTTATTCTCTGCAATCCATTTAAAGTATTCCTAATCTTAAAATTATATGGTATCACACTGTATAAACTTTGTTCTCTACGAAATGTATATTTATGTTTCTGGTGTATAGCCATACCTGTGTTGTATGTGTACACTGTAAAATGAGCCTCAATGTTTCATGAAAACAAAGACACATTTCACAGAATAAATTCCATAGAACAGTGAAGTAACAATACAGCATAAACCCAAACATAGACAGAGGACATGGTTTTATATAGTGTTTGTAGTCTTCACTTACCATGCTGCCAGATTCAATGGAAACCTACCTGATATGATCTGTGCCTCTATAGGATGGATATCACCGTTTATCTGGCCATTCATCATTGGGCTCTTACAACTAAATATATTATCAATAAATTATAGAGTATATTTTGCAGAGCAAAACAATTTAAGACCGACAAAATCTAACACAATCCAAGTTTGGCCTTCTTTTACTTTAAGGAACTGAATACTACCATAGTGCTCTTTTTGCTAATTAAATCCTAACCTTCAAGTGGGCCTGTACTCTAAGTACTAAGTCGTCTTAAGAAAAAAGAAAATGTGAATAAAGCTGTTCATTTTTTGCTCAAAGCAGCTTTAATCACTAACTTGGTATATGTGATGGCCATAAATGAAGATTTTCCATACATTTTTTCCTGTTAAGTTTGGTTTAATTTGGCACTAGTTCATCAGTTGAGCCAGTTGAGACAACAGTCAATGATAAGACCCAAAGTAATTCCAATAACTCAAACTTGTCTTTTGCTTCAGTCCAGCTAATGATACTATACTATAATCAACTATTCATAATACCTAAGAACAAAACTATGAAAAATTCAAATTTTAAATTATTTTTTTTTTCAGAAGTGACTTAGTTTACTTTAACAGATAAGACAAATGCTAAGTAGATTTAAACGCATGTGTTTTCCTCATATACATAAATAACCCCCTGTGTCATGATTTTATTTACACCATTTATCAGTACTTTTTAGTCAACTTTAAACCTTTTTAATAAAAACTCCACTAACAAAGAATGCCTTTCCTTGTACATGTACTTCTAGATCAGCATGTTACTTAAAATCTCAAGGAAAAACAGACTATACATGCTGCCTTATAGTTCAGTATTTTTGTTATATTTTTTTGCATGTATAACTCAAGAGAAATGCTGTATCATAGGGGTACTTTACAATTCTATGCATATATGAATATTGTTCATTGTTGTCCTATATTTTCTTTTTTTATGAATATCAAACTAATATTTTTTGTTCTATATCTCACCTTCTGAGATCTAAGGTAAGTTCTTTGTTAGCACATTTTATTATTTGTTGAACATCATTGTGGAGTAATCCTTCTGTTTTCTGACCATTTATACTTTCTATATAGTCCCCTACTTTTATACCTTCCTTGTAAGCTTTACTGTTGGGATTTATCTAAAGAAAAAAATATATAACATTTAATATAACATTTAATTTGTAGCAATATATGATCTTGGTTGTACCAGTAATGAATCTTCTACATGAAACCTGCAAAACTATGGAAAATTAACTCCCAAGATGCAAAATAAGTCTTTGACAAAAACTTGCATCTGTGAAAAATAAAAACAAGTTTGGGTAGGTTTGTGTGAACCAGGATTGCAATAGCGCCAAAGGCACAAGCCAATTCTGATACTCTAGTAGCAATCAAACCAAAATCCCTTTAAAGTATCATGTTAGGCAAGAAAATTGGAATCAGTAAGAAAGGAAAGTGTGCCCACGTTTCTTATTCTTATCAGATATATTTTTCATTTCAAGGCACAAAACATGTAGAAAGAACTATTTTTGTGCAATTTGTGCACTTACAACCATTGACCTCCCACTACATGTAAAATAGACTTATCAGTAGACACATTCCAATCAGATTTACATAACACAGATATATAAAACTGTCTATACTAATCAATGAATGATTAATGAACAAACTTACTTTGCCAAAGAGGCAATTTAAGGGGTTAACACTGACAAGTATCTAAACTATATACATAAGTGTAATACTGAAAATTCTTTTCTCAGCTTATGATAATCAGCATCAATTTCTATTTTACACATGGTGTTGAAATCAGATTCTTTTAGGACCCTCCAGCATTTTCACTGTAGCTTTAGGAATGTTCTTTGGTTTTTCATTGGTCATATGATCAATTTCCAGTTATTTATATGAAAATGAAATATTCCCATGTTTAATACATGAGAACTTTACTTAGTTACATAATTATCAACATATCTGTTTAGTGTTTACTGTGGATTCATTTATTTTTGTGTGTACCAATTTTTGTGAATTGATGAAAATTGCATTTTCGAGGTTATTTGATTTCGTAGTTTTGCCAAAGTCTGCATACAAGCATATTGAAAATTTGTACTTGGTTGAACATTTAAATATGCGGTTCAATTTTACCCACGAAATCCACGAAAAATGTGAATCCACAGTATTTATTTGCATTTCATGAGACAAAAATACTTCTCCTCTTAAATAAAGCTTTAAAAAATTGCCCATTCAAAAATCTTAACTTTTACATTTTGAAATAAGTGTGACAAATTTCCTTTCAATAAATTCTCCTAAATAAACTGTTAACACAGAGATATGTCTCAACTTTTTGTTATTTTGACAGTAAAATGCAAATGTTGAAATTAAAATACCAATACTTTAACTTGAAAGTCATACAAAATATTTAATGTCAACGAACCATGACTGAAGGTACAGGGCCAAACAATCTCCATGTTAATGAGATGTGCCAATGCTAATACAACTGCATACCAAATATCACTGACCTACCACTAGTGGTTCCCAATAATCTGACCTAGTCACAAACTCATACATGTTACCTAAGCAAAAGTTTCAAAGTCAATAGACCATGACTGAGGGGGTTGGGGCCAAATAATCTACATGGAAGTGAGATGTGCCAATGCTTATACAACTGCATACCAAATATCATTGATCTACCACTAGTGGCTCCCCATTAACTGACCTAGTCACAAACTCATACATGTTAACTAAGCAAAAGTTTCAGTCAATAGACGATGACAGAGGGGGCAGGGCCAAATAATCTTCATGGAAATGAGATGTGTCAATGCTAATACAACTGCATACCAAATATCATTGACTAATATCACTAGTGGTTCCCCATAAATTGCCCTAATCACAAACTAATACATTGTTGCTGCCACCGAAGCTGGAAACAGCATACCTATGTCTCGCTTTTTGACTCTGTCAAGGCTAGACAAAAAACTACAAAAATGCACCGTATATAAACAGGAGGTTGAATTTTCTTAATAAATTGATTGGGACTTCATTTTCCACACTGGAGTTGCATCTTTCAAGCATGGATTTTCAAGAGGACCAATGAAGCCCTCAATAACCAGGGGCAGATCCAGCCATTTATAAAAGGGGGGGTTCCTAACCCAGGATAAAGGGGGGTTCCAACTATATGCCCCCATTCAAATGCATTGATCGTCAAAAAAAAGGGGGGTTCCAACATTTGCACTTGTGTGTATTACCTTCTTGAGGGATGTCAACATGTTGTAAAGCATACAATTTTCTGCAAATTTTTATATCAGATTACCTAAAAGTATCACAAAAATAAAACAAATATGGACTTTGTAATCTTTCACAGGTAATACCTTCATCAAATCAACCAAAACGATAAACCTGTTCATTTTACCAAATATTTAATTTCAAATTTTATCTAAAAAAATGACCATAATAAAAGAGTAAAGAAGTGAATCATTATCCACAAAATACTTCAAAATTGTACAACATGCTAGATTCCTAAAAATCAACAGATGCAGACCTTTTCCATAACATTACAAGAATTCATTTGGGCTGGTGCTTAACTTTGAAATCATTTGGTTTTATAAATGTGCCAGTTGATCAGTAAGAATGCCTACTAGTATACAACAGGTTTTTTTTTCTCTCACTTTGATTCAAACTCATCCATTTTAAATTGTGCTCTTTAAATAGTATCTTTCCCTTTTTATGTATCATAAACTTCTACAACAAACTAACCAGTTGTTAACCAATAACCAAGCAAATTTAACTGTCAAGTCATCAATATCTTACACAACTTGATAGGAACCTCATTATTTCATATAACTTAATCACAAGCCTCAGAATCTACACTTAAATCATGTTTTAGACAAACTAATCATTCTACATTCTATTTTCCATCTGTCTTTTGTCTAGAAAGCATCAATGTTTCAAGATTAAAATAACCAGGAGGTTTGATAGAGAAATGTCAGAATCCTCTGAACCAAGAGCATCATACACTATAAAAACATAACATAGATTTATACAAATATTTATATCATCTGATTTGCCTAGTGGAGTATCTTAGGCACAATCAAAGGCATAAACCCTGTTTGCAGACATATATTTCTTCAGCAGAAAAAAATATGACAGCATAGCATGAGAAAAGCCATAATCAACCCAAAAACTGAAAAGAGCATGATACACTATAAAAAACATAACATTTATAAAAATATTCATATCAATTTATTTGTTTAGCAGTGTATTCTACAGAACAATCAAGGGCAATAACCCTGTATGCAGACATATATTTTTCAGCAGAAAAAAATGTGAAAGTCTGGCAGAAGAAAAGGCATAAACAACCCTTAAACTGAAATACAGCATATCCAAGTGCAAGATGCCTAGTTTGCAGACATGTATTTCTTCAGCAGAAAAAAATGTGAAAGCCTGACACAAGAAAAGCCATAAACAACTCTAAAACTGAAAATACAGCACATACATGATAACATGGAACGTTTCTCATTCATAACTTCAAACTGTTTATAAAATGAAATTTGGTGCTGGGAGGTTTACAACATATGAAACAATTTAAAGTTCCATAACCGTTTAATCTTAAGATGTACTCAGCAGGATCATAAGATATTACGCAGGAAAGTTCATATTATATTTACCTGAAAAGATTTATATAAATATAAATGCTGTGCATGTTGAGTGCAATAAATGCATCACTTGTTTTAGATATATACTACAAACTTTTATGAAGGAATTTAATTTTTTATGCACTGCCAATCCTACTTGTATTAAACTCCTACAATAAGTATACTATGAACTTATCTTATTGACAAGAAATCTGTCTACAAGTTTTGAATTTTAAAGCCATTTGTATTGAATTTGAATTAAAATATCTTTTAAACCACTATATTTTCAAAGAAACGAACCATACATTTATGTATCCTTATATAAATTAAAGAACATCTGCACTTTTCTTGAAAAACAAAGTCTCTGTAAAACTAGATATCAGTAACAGAGGATAGATGTAGATATACTGAAAATTAAAACATTGTGCAATCTACAGTTAAAATAAGTTTCATCAACTTTCTCTGGTGCTGGAAGTTGAGGTTTTGATCCTTAGCCAGGTCAAACAAATTACTTTAAAGTTACATATAGCATTTACTGCTTCTCTACCAAGTACATAGCATTTTGGAAAGACTGGTAGCTTTGAAAGTCAAAGTAGTAAGTCTGAGTAGGGTGACATAGCCTCAGGCAAAATATTTACCTACTTTCTGGCAGTACTGAAAATAAAGTCTTGCAAGGCTGCAAATGACTCAAATAAAGCCTTGCAAGTCTTCAAATGACTCAAAATCATGTCTTGCAAGTCTACAAATTGCTAGCTGCAGTGTCAATGTTATGAAATTTAGCTAGCATTAAAATTTTAAGAGGCAAATAAATGTTTGTCAGTTCCTTCATTGTGTTTCAATACAAAATTTTAAATAACAAATGAAAAATAAAATAAACAAAAAACTTAAAATCAATTGTAGTTTTAATTGGTATTGAGATCTAGAGAAAGATAAAGTATACCATTGACTAAAAGTGAAGCCAGTTAATTTCAAAGTTTCATTCAAATTAGTAAGCAATATGCACAGAGGTTAGCCTGATAAAACTTTTATAGTACAGCAGTTTATAACAAGTCATATTTAGAACCAAATGTTGGCTAACATTAGATTGACATGTCAGTCTGGTAGAAAGCATGGTTAATCATAAGCTCTATTGCAAACCTGATCAATGTTGAATGTCCATCCATCAATCCACCCTTCTGATGATATATTCTCCATTCTATACCTTAACAATTATAGTTCTCAATACAAAACAACCAGAGAATAAAATCGCATAAATACCAACAAAAGCAAAAGAAGAAAAACAAGCAACACCACCAAAATAAATGTACGAATGATGTTTTCTTCAAGTATGCATTTATTTTATTTGAAGGCTCAAAAAATAGAATCTTTCAAAAACGTGTAGAATTCTTAATTCTTATCTCATCTAATAAATAGCACATCTGCTGGAGATGAATCATAAACATGCAATGTCAAACCATTAATATTGTTTATGTTTACAAATCAATTAGGGTATTACTATTAATAGAGAATAACTTTAA